TACCAAATCTAGAACTTTCAGTAAATACTAAATGCAGTACGGGGAATCTAAAAGTAAGGGTTGGCAATGTTCAATTTGCAATTGGCAATACTAAATGCAGAATTGGCAATACTAAATCAAGCACTGGAAATCTGAGTGTAAGTCTTGGCACTGCTCAATTTAAAATTGGAACTGCAAAATGAAGTACTTCGAATGCAAAAGTAAGTTTTGGCAATACCAACTTTAGATTTGCCATACTAGATCAAGCATTGGGAATCTGAGTGCAGTGTAGGCTTGGCAGTTCCCGATTATGGGATGCTGAGAGTTAGTCTCGGCAATACTAAATTTAGAGTTGGCAATACTAAGCTTAGCACTGGGAAACTAAAAAGTAAGTCTTCGCAATACTGAATTTACTACCGGGATTCTGAAAGTAAGGCTCGGCAATACTAAATTTAGAATTGGCAATACTAAGTTGAGCGCTGGGTCTTAGCAATACTAAATTAACTACTGGGATTCTGAGAGTAAGCTTTAGGCACCGCTCAATTTAAAATTGGCACTGCTAAATCAAGTCCTTTGAATGCAAGAGTAAGTCTTGGCAATGCCAAATTTAGATCTGGCAATACTAATACTAGAATAAGCGCTGGGAATCTGAGTGCAGTGTAAGGCTTGGCAATTCTCGATTAAGATAATACTCGAATAAGTACTGGGATTCTGAAAGTAAGTCTCGGCAATACTAATGCCAAATCTATACTGAGCACTGCCAAGACTTCTCAGATCCCAATGCTAATTTTAGTATTGGCAATTCCACATTGCAAAATGCCAAGCCTTACTTTCAGACTCCCAGTACCGGTTTTTGTGTATATTGACAACTCTGGATTTAGTATTGCCAGATTCCCACCATTGCTTATTTCTTCTTGTTTGCAAATTCTAAATTTGATATTGCCAAGACGTACTCTCGGGTTCCCAGTGCTTGATTTAGTATTGCCAATTCTAAATTTAGTATTAACAATTGCAAATTAACATTGCCAGGCCTTTCTTTCAGATTCCCTGTGATGAATTTAGTACATATTGAAAAATTATAGATTTATCATTGCCAAGACTTCTTCTCACATTCCCAGTGCTTGATTTAACATGTTGCAAATTCGGAATTGCGTATTGCCAAGACTTACCCTCAGAATCCCCTCAGAATCCCGGTACTTGATTTAGTATCATCTTAATCGAGAATTGCCAAGCCTTACACTGCACTCAGATTCCCAGTGTTTCATCTAACATTGCCGATCTAAATTTAGTATTGCCAAGACTTGCTCTTGCATTCAAAGTACGTCATGTAGCAGTGCCAATTTTAAATTGAGCAGTGCCAAGACTTACGCTCAGACTCCCAGTGCCACTCAGAGAGGCAAACACTTATCAAGCAACATGTGCACAACTTCTGCAAGAGATCAAGCCTCAAAAACACGCAAAGTGCACTACCACAGTCCCCCGGTCTCAACTTGGGTCCTTTTCGGGCATCCTTTTCATGGGGGCAAGTTGAACCCTATAGTTTATTTCGCCGGAACCCGCCACCTGGGTCTAAGGGAAGGGGGGTCTCCCAGACTTGGAGGTTTCCGAAAGGGGAGTTCTTGGATGGTTTTACCAGGGATTTGGAGAGAGACCCCGAAAGTGTAACCAAATCAGAGTCTAAAGGCGCAAAAAGTCCCTTGTCTTCTTGGGCTTCCCCCAAAGTTAACTCTTACTTCCATCTGCTTAAGGATAGTTTTGTATTTTCCCGTGTTGGTTGTTTCAAGGGAATCGATCACTGCTACATGTGTTTCTTTTCCTCAAGGGGGCTTAACCAAATGGACAATTTCTACATAGGGTAGACGAAATCTGTTGGTAGCAAAACCAAGGTTCAGAGAGCCTCCCGTTAGTTCAGAAAATGCGCCACCTGTTGCTAGGAAGGGTTGCCGTGTTTTGGGCGCTATGAGTGTACTTTTTTAGTGGAACTAACACGTGTTTGGCGCTATGAGTGTATTCTTTTTGTGGAAGCTACTAGAAGCTCACGCACCATTTTTTTTGCTTGCCCAAAGCCGACCTTTTGGCCTTTTGGTTCCCCTTGTTGGTCCATCGTTAGACAAGGTTCCAAAACGTTAAGTATGTGTTTCCAGGTCCTTTGGTCAACCAAGCTCGGGGTCCCCTGATTTTGAACTCACGCTCTTCGCCTGCATTCTTGGGATGGACCCCCCAACGTGTCGTTCCCTTCGTGGACAAGAACATGTCCTTCTATTCGCTTAAGTTCGTTTTGTAAAATACACAATCCTCGGGTTTAAAAAAGGAACCTATGACTACTGGACATATGTTTAGTCTCGCAGTGGACTAAAGCAACTGAACGTTTTTGGGGAGTCCCTGTGATGGCGGGCTGGCTCGTGTGACCTTTTGCTTTCGGCCCATGGTTTCGAAGAGCCTAGGGGGTGTTTGGTCCATCGACCGCAACAACCTGATGTTAGTTTTTTTGTTTCTGTGGGGGGGGGTACTCCAAAAGTACGATTGTATGATTCTGGGGCTGATTTATATTCAGTATACCGTACACCCTAAAATGTAACATTTGCTTTGGAGGGGAGGGTTTTGTGAAAAGCAGCTGTCCCTGACCAGTTCCGCATTCGACACCTGTTGTAGGGCTCGGATCGAGCGAAGGGAATGCTGGGCTTCAACTCATCAAGAACTTGAGTTTCATTTTAAGGAAGCCCCTAAAAGACGAATAAGCCTTGATGTTTGCCGACACTCCATTGACCGCCAACCATACTGTAAAGAACCCCTCAGTTGCTCAAAGCCGACCTTTTGACCTGTTGTTTTTTCCTTTTTTGTCTAGTTTTAGTCATGGCCCCAAAAGGTTAACCTTTTATTTCTGGGTCCTTTGGGCAACTGAGATAAAGAACCCTGTCTTCAACAAAGTACCCAGCCCCGCAGGATGCAAACCCAGGCGAGAACTGAGGGGGCGGGAAGATGCTGGTCTCAAGTGTCCAAACTCACCTTGTCATGGTTGTGGTTGGGAAGCATTTTTTGTGTTTGCTTACTGTGGTTTAGTGGTTGAACTCCAACCACTTAGCTGCTAACTGTTGCTGCCCCTCCAACGTCAACCAAGTTGTTTGCCTGGACTTGAGGGGTGGTTTCTCTGGCAGGGTCGAGCCTTCGGAGCCTCTGAGGGCCAAACTCACCTTTTGCCTTATTTGGTCTATGTTTAGTCAAGGTACCGACAGGTGATCCTTTTTTAGTTGATTTCCAGGTCCCTGAAGGTCATGTTACGAAGTCACAGCAAGAGTCGTGTGGCTCTCTTTGCGACCTCTTGTTCAATTTCTCGGGAGACCATGAAATGTGCTTTGCAGACCATGCCTTTTCTGGAAGTACTGTTGGCCCCTTGTGAGTGAATCAATCACGTCCAACCACACAACCCTGGGAAGCAGCAGTCATGTCAACCTCGGATTAATCCGGGAGACTCTAGTCAAAGGCATCCCCTCAAATCATTTCCTTACGAAAAGCGAACCACCCCGTTCCAAAGTCCACGTATTTGGGTCAAAAGTAAACCACCAGGATATGGACCGCAGGTTTTTGTTTTGTCCCTTCACCAATCGGGCAGCGCATCGTTCAGAAACCCTGGTTCTTGACGCGTTTCCCTGCAAAAACCATGGTTTCAAAGTGGTACAGGACTTTGTCCATCTACAGTATCTAACCGAAAGAGAGTTGAAACGCCGGCCATAAATTAAATGGGGTTACCAACTATGTTTGACAGCATCTCAAAAGCTTGATTCCTTCTGGAGGTAAGGGGGGCCTCGGGCAAAAAGCATGCACCGAGCCTGGAGGGTGGGTTTTGGATGAATGGATTATCCTTTATTGCTCACAGTGCGCGAGAAGAAGAAGAAGAAGAAGAAGAAGAAGAAACAGTTATATTGGAACAGTTGATCGAACAACAACAGACAAACTATTTCTATCAGGATGTTTTTTACCAATGGGGGTTGATCAAAAGGAACTTTACATGGGATGACCGTGGGCGAAAACAACTAAACATACGATAGACATTGCGCACTAAATGGGACAAGTTACCCATGGTCATAGGGGGTGCCAGCAATATTGATCCACCCCCACATAATACCATCCCCTTAGCCTTCTAGCCTTTTAGCCTTTTAGCATTTTAGCCTTTTAGTGTTTAGTGGTAGTTTCCATTTAACCCACTAACAGTTCTCAACTTTTAGCGGGGGATCTGAGGGCAGCCCAGAAGCTTTTAGGTTGTTTAGGTTCTGTTCTTTTTTAGTAGGCTGCAAAAGGCAATGTATTTTTTTGCTGCCGTACCAAGGGTTGTAAAGGTAGCGACTTGGCTGTGGCTCAAAATATGTACCTTGGATCAGAAAACGGGCAGCCCAGTTGGTACTTGCAGTGGAATCATCATGCGCCAGGGGTTCTTAGGTGGTGCGAGGGCCAGGAATATTGATCAACCCCCACAGTAGGGGCTAGGAAGACACAGCCACTAATCACTAGCTAGGTCCCCCAGCAGTGCCTTTTACCAACTTGTTTTGGGTTTTGGGTTGCCCTACTAAAATAGACAGGAGGAAAAAAACGGTTGGTACCATCTTATTCTAAGCTCTCAAATCTGGAGGACCTATAGTTTAACCTCTCAAATCTGGAGGACCTTAGTTTTTTGGGGAACTCTTCTTTGGTGCATTTGGCTTGGATGTTAGAACTGAATAACTTTTTGCCAACTAATTCGGGTGTTCCGTATTAAACCACTAAAAGTTGCAAACGTTTAGCAGGGCTTCGCGGAAAGCAGCCGAGTCTTGTTAAGGTCGGTGGAAACGGAAGCCGCGCCAACTGGAAACGGCACAGAAGCCAACTCAAAGCACAGCCCCCGCGCCTCGAAAAACGCCTCGCGCTTCGCGCCTTCAGCTCCGCCGGAGATCTCCCTGGAGGATGCGGCCGGGAGCCCAGCAGGTGGTTTTGGGGGGTGGGGGGGGAAGTGGTGGGTGGGGGGTGGGTGGGGGGTGGGTGGGGGGGGTGGGTGGGGGGGGGGTGGGGGGTGGGTGGGGGGTGGGGGAAGTGGGTCCGTCTTTTTTTTTTCTCCGGAGGATACCGGGTATCGTTTTGTTGCTGTTGTTTTTTTGGTGGGGGGGAGGGGGGCGGGGGAGGTATCCTCTCGCCAATTCATGGAGGGTAATTGGGGGGGGGCGTCTTTTGTTTGAGGGTGCTGAGGAAAGCCAAAAGGACAACCAAAGCCATTTTGTGGGGCTCCCGAAAACAAAGACACGCCCAGATTGCTGTTCTTCCTTTTTGTTGGAGGGTACGTCCCAGCCGTTCACATGGAGCTTGACGTTTGGGGAAATGGTATGGTTTGGATCATGTTCCTTTTGAAGGGACCGGGCCCCCCTGAAGGTCAGGTTCCGTTTGTGAAAAGGGTGGAGGGTACCCTTTTTTTAATCTAAGAAACCATCTCCATTGCTTTGTGCGAGTAATTTCCATCTTGTCCCTGGAGAGCTCCCTGAAAATGGTGTCTCAGAAACAAACATGGATGTGGACACCTTCAAGACGTGGTCTTCCACCATCAATTCTGGCTTCCATGATTGTTGGAGGGAGGGTACCACACCTGGTTTTGTGGAGGGTGTACGCTTTTTTGGCCGGCTCAAAGGAAACCACTTCTTCTTCTTCTTCTTCTTCTTCTTCTTCTTCTTGTTTTTCTTGTTGGGGGGGAGTGCCCCTATTTTGACACATACCCGCCTGGGGTTTAGGGCTAGTTTCCGTGATGCCAAAACAGCGGTTGGACCCGATAGGACAAGTGGGTACCAGGGCGAGTTTCCCCCACGTGCTTCTGTGATACCTTCGGAATTTTTGAAAGCGATGAACCAGCTTGGGGTGAGAGGTCCCACTTTGCCACTTATCTTCCCCAGAATTAGCTCCCCCTTTTCCTTTTTTGCTTTTTTGGGGTCCCCTTTGTTTTCCACTAACCAGGCATTTTATTTTTTTTTGCTGGGGTCCTAATTCCAGCCAAGTTATGTCAATCAGACTGGAAGTCCCCAGATCTGTAACCCCACTAAATCGTTTTGTTCACAGATTCGTGAAAAGCATCCATTGTCCTTTGCTCAGCTGCAAAAGTTTCAAGTGGTACCCTCATGAAATTAGGACACACCCAAGTGGCGATCTTTAAGCTTTCCACCCAAGGGTTTGGGACTGGTTATGAAGGTCCAGGCCTGTTCATAGGAATTGGTTGTTTGAGGCACCATTTGTAGATGGTTGGTTGCAGAATCCAGCAACTTGGGTTTCCCTTTTTGGGAAACCGCCATGAGCTCCAAACCACCAATCTAAACCACCAAGAATGGCGGGGGGGAACCCATGCCAGGCAGCACGGAGAGGTCGATGGACAGCGAAGCAGGCACCCTCAACCCCCCCCATCCGTTCGGCTCCGAATATGTCGCCTTATCTGGTTTTAGGGCATCACTTTGTGGCAAGGCCAAGACAAACATGATGTTCCTTCAAGTTGGGTGTTGACCGGGAAGATATGTCGGGAGCCCCAGGACAGGGAGGCAGACTTGTTTGAACAGCTTGCCCCCCCCTCTCGGATAGCAAAAGGATCACACACGGCTTATCTACAAGAAAAAGCGGCCAAATCACAAGCAAACATGGCCTTTCGACCTTTTGGTCTGCGAATGTTGGTCCGATCACCTTTCACTGAGTCCTATATTTCCTGCAATTCGCTGGCTTGGACCCTTGCGACCCTTGCTGCACCCAAGAAGTCCGCGGCCTTCGCGCGCGGCGCCTCGCCTTCGCCCAGGAAGCGGCGGACGAAGCGGTGCATCTGGCGGAGGCGGCGGTGAGGCGCTGGAACGAGCTGCCGCGGGGCCTGGACGAGTTGCAGAAGTACGAGGCCGGAGCGCGCGGAGCGGGACCGAAGGCGGACCGAACGAAGGAGCGAACGGGCGGCGGATGGGATCCTTCCATTTGCCGAAGTTGGTTTTTCAATTTTGCCCTGTTTTAAAGGGAATCTATCACTATTGGACGTATTTTCATATATATCTTTCCGGGGGGCTTCAGCAAATGGAAGGATCGGCTGCCAGTCAGTGTTTTTTGGTTTTTGAAAGCGGCGTTTGGTTTTTAGGACTTTGCCCTTTCAGTTTTTTGGGCGTGGCTGGTTTTTGGGGTTTCTTCCATTTGCTGAAAGGATTTATGTCTATATGTCCGTTGTTGGTTTTGAAAGCAAACGATTTCGCTAACGGAAGAGATTGTTTTGTTTATTTAACGGGAAACGTAAGCAACTGGAGTGTGTGTGTGTGTGGCTGGTTTTAAGGATTTGAACTCATATCTAAGATCTTACTTGCCCAAAGCGAATCAACCTTTTGACCTTTTGGATTCCCCTGAAACCTCGCTTTTTTCAGGGTATTTTTGGGAAAGCCTGGTTCTCCATTGTAAATACCTCCTTTCGTAGTAGAGGGCCGACATCATACCCTGAAAAAAGTGGGTATTGGGTGTAGGGGGTATTTTTAGTTATGGCAACCCAAAAGGTGATCACCTCTGTACAGGTCCTTTCTGGCAAGTGCTCCGAAGACGTTTCACAAATTCCTTCCGTTTGCTGAAATAAGCATTCGCTTATTTTCCCCTTTTGGTTCTAAAAGGAATCGATTTCACTACTGTGTTGTTTGTTTTCCAGCGGGCGAAAAGCAAATGAACGATTCTTCTCATGATCATGACCTAAGTTGGTTTCAAAGTACTCGCAGCATTCAGCAGTATTGGGGTGTGTATTGTTATTGCGGTTGCCACCCTTGTTTGGCTTGTTTTAGCGGGAAAAATAAGGGAAACCGCAAATTTTAAGCATGGGCCTGGGGTCAGAGTTGTGCTGGAGGCGCCACTACCGAAGATAGGGGGTCCAATTCCCTTCCATTTGCTTAAGAATACCTTCTATTTTTCCTTGTTGGTTTTACAGGGAATCTATTACTACTTGAAATATGTTTTTTTTTTTTTACAAGGGGCTTGAGCAAATGGAAGTTCCTACTTCAAAACACGACAGTTTCCCATTTTTTTCTCAGCCCATGGCTGTGACTCCCAGAATTTCCCGACCGGGGTGCAATGAACGGTGTGGCTCGTCGGGTTGTTCGTTTCCCCCGTTCGTTGCCCATGGTTTCTCCGTTGATGTGCGCTTCGGCCGGGTGTTCGGTGTTTTCATGTTCGTCGCTGGTGGCATTACCAGTCCAAAGGGTGACCTTTGGTATTTCTTTGCGTTGCTGGGTTTTCTTCATTTTTCCCGGCAACCAGTAAAGCAAGTTGGACTTTTTGCAGGGGTCGGATCAGTCCGGTCAAGGTGTGCTTCAACTTGTTTGGTTTGTTTCGGTAACATTCCGCGTTGCAGATCAGGGTTAGAGCCTTTTACAGGTCGATTTTCTTGTTTGTTGTTTTTGAGGATACGAGGACCTAAACAATTACCATAATGATTTCCCCATCTGGGTGGCTCGCCTTTTGAGGATATCCCTTTTTCTTGTGGTTTTGAATGACAACTCAAAGGAACACCACTTTTTGTTGGGGGGTCCGAACATGCCCATATTTCATGACTGCAGAGGATTGGATTTCGAATCCTAATCCATCCGTTTTTGGAAAGACAAGACAGAGCAGCGAAGGGTCCAACCCAAAAATGAAAGAGACTTCCGAACCACCAACAGGGTCCAGTGTTGTTGGATTTCTTTTTTCTTTTTCCCAAAAGCATCTCTGATGCTTGGGTTCTGCTTTAGGTTTTCTCTTAAGGTGCCTGGGAGCGATACAAGCTGTGACGACGGAGATAAGAAGGGATTTCCATTTCGTTGTGCTGCAGACCGGGTGTGCGATGCCGGCTGGGGGTGCAGACCGGGCGTACGAGGCTGGCTGGGGGGACGGTGGTGTGGGGCTGGCTGGGTGCGCGAGACTGGCGCGGTGGACGCTCGTGACAAGCGGAAACCGCCCCCGAGCGAGACGGGCGCGGGGGACGCTCGTGACAGGCCGAAACCGCCCCGAGCGCGACTGGCGCGGTGGACGCTCGGGACATGCGGAAACCGCCCGCGAGCGAGACTGGCGCAGTGGACGCTCGTGACAAGCGGAAACCGCCCCCGAGCGAGATGGGCGCGGGGGACGCTTGTGACAGGCCGAAACCGCCCCCGAGCGAGACGGGCGCGGGGGACGCTCGTGACAGGCCGAAACCGCCCCCGAGCGAGACGGGCGCGGGGGACGCTGGGCGCGGGGGACGCTCGTGACAGGCCGAAACCGCCCCCGAGCGAGACGGGCGCGGGGGACGCTCGTGACAGGCCGAAACCGCCCCCGAGCGAGACGGGCGCGGGGGACGCTCGTGACAGGCCGAAACCGCCCTCGAGCGAGACGGGCACGGCGGACGCTCGTGACAGGCGGAAACCGCCCTCGAGCGAGACGTGCGCGGTGGACGCTCGTGACAGGCCGAAACCGCCCCCGAGCGAGACGGGCGCGGGGGGCGCTCGTGACAGGCCGAAACCGCCCCCGAGCGAGACGGGCGCCCGAGCGAGACGGGCGCGGGGGACGCTCGTGAGGCCGAAGCCGCCCCCGAGCGAGACGGGCGCGGGGGACGCTCGTGACAGGCCGAAACCGCCCCCGAGCGAGACTGGCGCGGTGGACGCTCGTGACAAGCGGAAATCGCCCGCGAGCGAGACTGGCGCGGGGGACGCTCGTGAGAGGCCAGCGAGACGGGCGCGGGGGACGCTCGTCGTGACAGGCCGAAACCGCCCCCGAGCGAGACTGGCGCGGTGGACGCTCGTGACATGCGGAAACCGCCCGCGAGCGAGACTGGCGCGGTGGACGCTCGTGACAAGACGGGCGCGGGGGACGCTCGTGACAGGCCGAAACCGCCCCCGAGCGAGACTGCACGGTGTACGCTCGTGACAAGCGGATACCGCCCGCGAGCGAGACGGGCGCGGGGGACGCTCGTGACAGGCCGAAACCGCCCCCGATCGAGCGAGACGGGGCGCGGGGGACGCTCGTGAGAGGTCGAAACCGCCCCCGAGCGAGACGGGCGCTCGTGACAGGCCGAAACCGCGCGGGGGACGCTCGTGACAGGCCGAAACCGCCCCCGAGCGAGACGGGCGCGGGGGACGCTCGTGACCCGAGCGAGACGGGCGCGGGGGACGCTCGTGACAGGCCGAAACCGCCCGAGCGATGACAAGCGGAAACCGCCCGCGAGCGAGACTGGCGCAGAGAATGCTCGTGAGAGGCCCGAGCGAGACGGGCGCGGGGGACGCTCGTGAGCGAGACTGGCGCGGTGGACGCTCGTGACATGCGAAAACCGCCCCCGAGCGAGACGGGCGCGGTGGACGCTCGTGTAAGCGGAAACCACCCCCGAGCGAGACGGGCGCGGGGGACGCTCGTGACAGGCCGAAACCGCCCCCCCAGTGAGACGGGCGCGGGGGACGCTTGTGACAGGCCGAAGCCGCCCCCGAGCGAGACTGTGGCGCGGGGGACGCTCGTGACATGCTGAAACCGCCCGCGAGCGAGACTGGCGCGGTGGACGCTCGTGACAAGCGGAAACCGCCGCGAGCGAGACGGGCGCGGGGGACGCTTGTGACAGGCCGAAACCGCCCCCGACGCCGAGCGAGACGGGGCGCGGGGGACGCTCGCCGCCCCCGAGCGAGACGGGCGCGGGGGACGCTCGTGACAAGCCGAAACCGCCCCCGAGCGAAACCGCCCTCGAGCGAGACTGGCGCGGCGCACGCTCGTGACAAGCGGAAACCGCCCCCGAGCGAGACGGGCGCGGGGGACGCTCGTGACAGGCCGAAACCGCCAAGACGGGCGCGGGGGACGCTCGTGACAGGCCGAAACCGCCCCCGAGCGAGACGGGCGCAAGGGACGCTCGTGACAGGCCGAAACCGTCCCCGAGCGAGACTGCATGGCGCGGTGGACGCTCGTGACATGCGGAAACCGCCCTCGAGCGAGACTGACGCGGCGGACGCTCGTGACATGCGGAAACCGCCCGCGAGCGAGACCGGGCGCGGGGGACGCTCGTGACAGGCCGAAACCGCCCCGAGCGAGACGGGCGCGGGGGACGCTCGTGACAAGCCGAAACCGCCCCCGAGCGAGACGGGCGCGGGGGACGCTCGTGACCCGAGCGAGACGGGCGCGGGGGACGCTTGTGACAGGCCGAAACCGCCCCCGAGAGAGAAGCAAGACTGGCACTGGCGCGGTGGACGCTCGTGACAAGCGGAATTCCGCCCCCGAGCGAGACGGGCGCGGGGGACGCTCGTGACAGGCCGAAGCCGCCCCCGAGCGAGACAGGCGCGGGGGACGCTCGTGACAGGCCGAAACCGCCCCCGAGCGAGACTGGCGCGGTGGACGCTCGTGACAAGCGGACCGCCCCCGAGCGAGACGGGTGCGGGGGACGCTCGTGACAGGCGGAAACCGCCCCCGAGCGAGACTGGCGCGGTGGACGCTCGTGACAGGCCGAAACCGCCCCCGAGCGAGACTGGCGCGGTGGACGCTCGTGACATGCGGAAACCGCCCGCGAGCGAGACTGGCGCGGTGGACGATTGTGACATGCGGAAACCGCCCCCGAGCGAGACTGGTGCGGGGCGCGAGCGAGACTGGCGCGGTGGACGCCCGTGACGTGCGGAAACCGCCCGCGAGCGAGACTGGCGCGGTGGATCCGCTCGTGACAAGCGGAAACCGCCCCCGAGCGAGACGGGCGCGGGGGACGCTCGTGACAGGCGGAAACCGCCCCCGCGCGAGACGGGCGCGGGGGACGCTCGTGACAGGCGGAAACCGCCTTCGAGCGAGACGGGCGCGGGGGACGCTCGTGACAGGCGGAAACCGCCCTCGTGCGCCAAAATTGTCCTTTTTGCCGCACACCTGACCCGAACAAATGGCGCCGATGTGTTTCTAGGACGAACCCTCTCTTGAGAAGCTGTGGCCTCTTGGGGTTCGCCCTACTTATTTGGAAGCAGCCTGGAAGCACGTTGAAAATGTTTATGCTGAGCACACTCGGCCCAAACAAAAGGGCGTACGAACATCCGAACAGCTGACCCCGGTCTACGCAGATCGTGCTAACACTGTGTCTCAGACTTGTTTCAGACAGGCGTCAGACCCACCAAGTGACCGAGGCTTGTCCACACCGAGCCCCCGCACTTTTTGCCGCACACATGACCCGAACAAACGCCAATGTGTTTCTAGGACGAACCCTCTCTTGAGAAGCTGTGGCCTCTTGGGGTTCGCTCTACTTATTTGGAAGCAGCCTGGACGCAGGTTGACATGAATAATATGCTGAGCACACTCGGCCCAAACAAAAGGGCGCACGAACATCCGAACAGCTGACCCCGGTCTACGCGGATCGTGGTAACACTGTGTCTCAGACTTGTTTCGGACAGACCACCAAGTGACCGAGGCTTGTCTACGCCGAGCCCCCCGCAAAAGCACAGCGCCGGCCCCCTCCCACCCAACTTGCCATCCACACGCATCCAATTGACAACGTGCGCGGCTCTTTCCACAAAGTCACCAGTTGCAATTGGTTGCGAATGGGAAAATAGGTGGAGCAACTAACGAATCCAAGCAAGCTTACGACGCAAGTTTGTGAAGGCCACGTGCGCGGCTCCATGTGAACAGCCCGGCGTTGCAGGTGCGCCACAATTGTCCTTTTTGCCGCACACCTGACCCGAACAAAGGGCGCCGATGTGTTTCTAGGACGAACCCTGTCTTGAGAAGCTGTGGCCTCTTGGGGTTCGTGCTACTTATTTTGCCGCACACCTGACCCGAACAAATGGTGCCGATGTGTTTCTAGGACGAACCCTGTCTTGAGAAGCTGTGGCCTCTTGGGGTTCGCCCTACTTATTTGGAAGCAGCCTGGAAGCACGTTGACATGAATATGCTGAGCACACTCGGCCCAAACAAAACGGCGCATGAACATCCGAACAGCTGACCCCGGTCTACGCAGATTGTGGTAACACTGTGTCTCAGACTTGTTTCGGACAGGCGTCAGACCCACCAAGTGACCGAGGCCTGTCCACACCGAGCCCCCCGCAAAAGCGCAGCGCCGGCCCCGTCTCCACACACCTGCGGCGAATCCACCCAACTTGCCATCCACACGCATCCAATTGACAACGTGCGCGGCCATTTCCACAAAGTCACCAGTTGCAATTGGTTGCGAATGGGAAAATAGGTGGAGAAACTAACGAATCCAAGCAAGCTTACGAAGCAAGTTTGTGAAGGCCACGTGCGCGGCTCCATGTGAACAGCCCGGCGTTCCAGGTGTGCCAAAATTGTATTTTTGCCGCACACCTGACCCGAACAAATGGTGCCAATGTGTTTCTAGGACGAACCCTCTCTTCAGAAGCTGTGGCCTCTTGGGGTTCGCCCTACGTATTTGGAAGCAGCCTGGAAGCACGTTGACATGAATATGCTGAGCACACTCGGCCCAAACAAAAGGGCGCATGAACATCCGAACAGCTGACCCCGGTCTACGCAGATCGTGGTAACACTGTGTCTCAGACTTGTGGCGTCAGACCCACCAAGTGACCGAGGCTTGTCCACACCGAGCCCCCTGCAAACGCGCAGCGCCGGCCCCCTCTCCACACACCCGCGGCGAATCCACCCAAGTTGCCATCCACATGCATCCAATTGACAACGTGCGTGGCCCTTTCCACAAAGTCACCAGTTGCAATTGGTTGCGAATGGGAAAATAGGTGGAGAACTAACGAATCCAAGCAAGCTTACGAAGCAAGTGTGTGAAGGCCACGTGCGCGGCTCCATGTGAACAGCCCGGCGTTCCAGGTGCGCCAAAATTAATGTCCTTTTTGCCGCACACCTGACCCGGACAAATGGTGCCAATGTGTTTCTAGGACGAACCCTCTCTTGAGAAGACTCTTGAGAAGCTGTAGCCTCTTGGGGTTCGCCCTACTTATTTGGAAGCAACCTGGAAGCATGTGACATGCGAAAACTGCCCGCGAGCGAGACTGGCGCGGGGGACGCTCGTGATATGCGGAAACTGGGCGCGAGCGAGGCTGGCGCGGGGGACGCTTGTGAGGCGCAGACTGGGAATCTAGAATGATGGGCCGGAGCAGCAGTGTTAAGGGGAGATTTGGTGGTTCTAGAGTCCCTGTTTTTTTTCGAAAAAAAGGGGGACTCTAGAATGATGGAATCTGGGGTTTCAGGGCTGGAGCGGCAGTGTTAAGGGGAGATTTGGCGGTTCTAGAGTCCTAGTTTTTTGTTTGAAAAAAGGGGGCTCTAGAATAATGGAATCTGGCGCTGTAGGGCCAGAGCAGCAGTGCTAAGGGGAGATTTTGTGGTTCTGGAGCCCCTGTTTTTTTTTTTAAGGGGGGAGGCTCTAGAATGATAGCACTTGGTGTTCCAGAGCCTTTCTTTGTTCATGCAAGACATCCGTTGCACCCAGTGAACATGTGTTTTTCATGGATTCGCAAGGGGTAAACCCGGGATTTTCACTGGCAGTTGTTGTTGGGATCGTTAGGTCACCCAACAATGGGGCACTGAATAAATAGACTTTGCCAAGCCAACATCGTTGTGCTAAGTAGGGTGATTTGTTGAGCTGTTGCCATTTTTCCAGCATTGGACGTGGATAGAGGGACCTTTTTAGCTTGACGTATATTTGTCCAACCTCCTCCTGTGCATTTCCATGATTCTTCGAAAGGGGGTAGGGTCACTTTGTTATGCTGCCCTGTTGGTTTTGACGGAGCCATGTTATGACTGGACTGTACGCATTTAGCGGAACATCTTTAGATGCCTGTTTATGATCCCTGTTAGGTGTTGTCAAGGGAAATGGTCATGACGGGTATCCCGACCCCCCCCCCCCGTTCATCAGCCAGCACAATCTTGAGCGGTAGCTCTCTTCCCCAGCTCCCGGACTTTAGCCACTTCTAAGGCGCACGGTGCTGGTGCCCAACAAGTGTTTCGACTTTCCTTGATCGATCCACTCTGGAAGCATTCGGGATGCCTCAGCTCTTTGGTGTAGCAGGCAGACCAAATGGATGGCGCGCTGCGAAAATGGCTCACAGGAAACGGTCACTGGTTCTTCTTTGCTTGCCTCCAAGATGTTGGAGTTTCAGTCTGGGCCAAAAACACGTCTGGGCCACAAACACGAGCTCAGATGGGTGTAGAGCGAGCTTATGCCTTGCTTCCAATTTGGGAGTGGTAGTTTGTGCGGATCCATTTTCGGATTTCTGCGATTGGTTCTTCATGATGAATCAGATGACTTCGTGCCTTCCATGTAGTGCGGGGCCTGTCGTGTTTCACCCGTGCCTTTGCCTTTTTCTCTGTGCTTGGTCAGAGCACAGGCTGCTGGCTGCCAATCCGGCTTGAGTCGCGGTTGCTCCCCTTCTTCATCTGTTTTGGGGTTGATTTCCCAACTGTGAACAACTTAAATCTTGGTTTGCCTTCGGACCCTTGAGCCGGAAAACAACGGGATCCACATGCCATGGGGAGTGAGGCTGGTTTGCTTTTGGGTTCCCGGGCTCCTCTTGTTTTGCGGGGAGTGATGAGCTTGCCTCAAATCAACCATCCCAAAAAGCAAGGCTGAGTCTCCACAGGAGCAACGAGAAAAAACAGAACGCTTTGCTGAGCAGTTGTCAAACCAGCATTGGGTGCTATTTTTCAAATGCTGTGGATGGACGAACTCCATTTCGCAACACGTTTGTTGGTAACTCCAGGGGAGTCTTTACAACCCAGGATTTCTTAGGTGGTGCGAAATGGATTTTGTCCATCCCACTTGGGTACGGAGTCTGGAGCTGGGACCCAATCACGAAACCGGAGCCCAGGAAATCCCTTAAGGGATTTGCTCCCCCAAAAGAGGATCACATTAAATAGAGCGAGAGAGAGACACCCATCTTGTCGAACACCGAACAAAATGGGTATGTCTAGTTTAAAGACTTTGCGTGGTGGCTCTCCTCTTGGTCTCCCTTTAAAACCCACAAAGCGCACCCTTCAAAAAGCACAATTCCCAACAAAATCAGCCCCCTGAGCGGTGGTTTTGCTTTCCGGCCACTCGAAAATCCGGTCACTCGAGGAAACTTTCCGGGCCGTATGGCCCGTTTCTTTTTTCAGCGCGGCCTCACAGGGGTGTCTTCCGTTTGCAGGGCTTAAAACAGATTTTCATTTTGCAGCCATTTTGCTCGTTTGAAGATGATTGAAGACCCCCACAAGAGGAAGCCTTGTTAGCTTTGCACCCCAACGGCAGATTTCATCCTCTGCTTTGCCGGTTGGCTGGGTCCAAAAGGCTGCCTGAAACCGAGCTTGAACCTTCAGTGTGACCTGCGTGCGAAGAAGCGAAGCACCAGTTCCCCTTCTGCAAGGGAGCCGACCGGTGAAAAGAGCAGTTCTTCCCCAAGTCGCACCCGTGTTGAAACGGCGAGCTCGTGTTGAACTTGGGCAAGCTCCATGAAACGTGGTGTTTTCCGAACGGGTTCCGTCCAAAAGCGGGTGGCATGCCCTCGCAGACCGAGCTGGAGCCCCTGCGGGCTCAAGCGCTGATGTGGCGCAAGGCCAGTTGTCCAGTCCGGATGAATGTGCCCCCGAAATGCAGTGGTCGAGTCCGTTTGCTGAATATATTTTATTTCCCCAACGTGGATCGCTAGTTATCGCTTTTTTCCATCCACTTTACCCCAAAAACCAGCAACAGTGACTGACAAATACGGCCACTTGGCTGTCTAGGAAGGCGGTTTTAGGGTCTTGTTTCACTACGGTTGTTCGGGGAACTTAAGCCAACGGGTGTCCGTTGTACACGCATGGGTTCCGTTTAAAGAGTAGATGATGTCCACCAAAGGGCCCTTACTTGAAAATCACACCTATGTCAGTTGGCAGCACAGATTGGGGTGAGTGGAGTGCAGTGGTGAGTGGAGTGGTGAGTGGAGTGGTGAGTGGGTTGGGAGTGGAGTGGGGGGGTGGAGTGGAGAGGAGTGGAGTGCAAATAGATTGACAATGTTTCAGTCAAACCTCAAAAGAAAAGACTGGTGGATAATTAAAGGCTATGGGGAGTGTCGCCATATATCCGAGGTTCCATTGATCAGAGACAAACCCAAGAAGACCTCCGGTTTCGCGGTTTCGGATAGACTGGTTCCAATTCATTGCTTCAAGTGGTCTGGGGTAATTAGACTTAGGATAAAATTCACATTTTGCCAGTGACTCAAAGTGAAGCAAAAAAACAAACAAACTATAACTGGGCCCAACTCTAATCATGTGGTGAGAGGGACTTCGCAACGTCTTTTTTTGTGCCCGCTTCGTTTCGGAGGAGGATCGACGGTTTCCGCTCATGTGTTGATGTTTCTTCCATTCTTGGCCTGCGGCACTGATTCCTTTAAACGCAGCCACCATCTGCGGCAGTCTTTAAAATATGGAACGCAGGCAACAAGTAAAACCTCCAATTCACCAATGGTGTGTGGCCGTTGTTTTTGTTGATTTTGGTGTAGTGAATTGTAAACCAGCTGGCCTTGCAGTACTCAACTGATTCGCTGTAGCAAACTCGAAAACTTTTATTTTTTGCCATAGCAAGGGCCTAAGGGGAGGGAAGTTTATGGCTGCATGGGCCTTGGCTCTGCATCAGACTCAGTCAGGCCAGCAGCTTGTGGCTCGGAGGGGGTTGGTTCAAGCGGATCTGGTCTAGTCGCTTGAAAGGAGTGGGCAACCCGTCGACGTTTCGAAAAGGAGCCTAGTTCTCCCAAAGGACAGATCCCAACATGTCCATAGGCGGTTTTTCCTTCTCTGTGAGTTGCGCGTCCATTTAAGCTGAATGAAAATGTTTCATTTCCCCCGGTTGGTTTTGAAGGGAATCGATTTCACTACTGGACATAGTTTCTCAGTTTTCCAGGGGCTTGAGCAAATAGATGGTTTGGGCAACGAACTCAGATGGGTTCCACTGGTTTAGATGGGTTTGGCGCCCCAGAATGTTTCCAAAAGGTCATCCATGAGGACAAGCCAGGCAACACGGTTACGAATTCTGACATAACCCAATCCTTCCATAAATGTTTCGCGTAAGCATCGTAGAAACCCCCCTTCATGACAGGGGCTGCTTTTTTGTTCATGGTCAACCAGCGTTCTTTGTCTCAAGCCTTTTCCCTGTGTCAAGCGGGTTCCTGGCAAGAATGATGCTCAGCATGTTTCGGACTTATCATTAGGTGGATTGTGAATGATGTATGCCAAGGCCCTCCTGACTGCCAGTTGGGGGTAGCGTCTTATGCATATCTTGGCTCTTGGCGCTGCTCTTCGATCGGCCTTTTTCGATCTTAAGGACCTAAACCCAGGGGATGATTTTGCCCAGAAATTTGTGTCCTGCGCTGAAGTGAGGCTCAGTCAAAGTTTCCAGCAATCTATGATTGACACTGAATTTGCCACGAGCACCCAGGAGTGCGTGAAATTCCCGTGCCCGCTAGGACACCCGGTTGTTCAGTGACACCCTTTCCCTTTGTGCGTGGCCTGCCCATTAAAAGGGGTCAAACCCCAAAAAGGACATGCCTAGATAGCCAAGTTGCTGTTTGTTCAGTCACTGCTGGTTTTTTCGGGTAGATGGAAGAAAGCGATCGCAACTGGCGATCCAGGTGGGTCCAATTCTTTTCCCCCCCTCGATCGAGCGAGCGGCCATGGATCGAGCGCGAGGTCTTGAACGGCGAGGCGGCCAAGCGGGCGCGCGCCCGGGGAGACTTTGAGGGCTTGGACTTGCCCGGAAGCCTGGGGGGGGGGGGTTGGGGGGGGTGGGGGGGTTGGGGGGTTGGTTGGGGGGTTGGTGGGGGTTGGTTGGTTGGGGGTTGGTTGGGGGTTTGGTTGGGTTTGGGTTTGGGGGGGTTAGGGGGGGTTGAGGGGCTGGGGTTTGTTGGGTTGGTTACGGTTTGTTGGGGGTTTGTGGGTATCATGCTAGCGCTCCCTTTCGCATGACCTTCCCACGTGATCATGTTTCTGAATCACCGGGAAGCATTTAACACAAGGGGCGAAATGATTACACACGCCATCATGGTTGTCGTTGGGAAACATTTTACATTTTTGTTTATTGTGGTTTGGTGGTTGAAATCCAACCGCCTAACTGCTAAGATTTGAGAATTGTTGCTCCCCAAACCCAACGTCAAGCAAGCCATTCTCTTGGAGTATCGACCTAGTTAGGCTTTAAATCCGAAGCCACGCTACGAAGCTTCGCACCTGAAAGTCTCTTATTTCCAGCTTGTGCACTGGATCTCTGGAGGTCTCCAAAGAGATTTTATACTTTAGGGTTGGCTCAAGACTATATAGAATCTCATCAAACAGATTTGTTCTCCAAATCTGGAGGTAAGTTGTGAGTTCACCAACTAGATGACTCTCGCCTTTTTGCTGGGCCCCGAAGCCGCGGCCTCCGCTTCGCCGAGGCTGGAGCCAGACCCCCGCGGCTGGTCGGAGCTGACGGAGCGCGGGGCCTAAGGCAAATCTCCGTCGGAGGAGATATGCCCTTTCCAGGTGGCGGGAATCAACCGTTTGGGGATCAACCCTGAAAGGAAATCACCAGGATGATGAACCTAGGGATTCTAGGGGATTGTTTTTCTTGGGTCATGCCATTTCTCATTTGGCGGTGGTGGTCAAATGCAATGGGATCGATCCCATTTTGGGGTTCCCACGTCCGGTTGCTTACGTTAGGTTTTCAGGATTCCATTTAAGCCACTAAAAGTTCGGTCCCCCAGCTAGGTGCCCTTTTACTGTTTCTTGTTTTGGGGGAGGGTTCCCCTACTAAAATGGACTACAGAAAAAAAGTTGGCACCAACTTATTCTAACCTCTCTACTGGAGGACCTAGATTGGTACCATTTGTACGGAATTTGCCATATGGGCGTGTCTGTTTTTGCCACTCCCCCCCCCCCCAAACCAAGCACAAAGGGGTACCCTCAAAAACGAGGCACCCATGTCTAATTTTGTTTTGGGCCGCAGAACTAGATGGACGGTGGGAACAGCCGGGTTTGTCGCAAATTCATTTCTCAGACCACACAACAATTCCGCCAGGGCCGCCCCTGCAAGAAGGCCTCGGTAAAATGGGTGGGCGGTACCCCAAGGAGGACCCCAGCCTTTTCGTGCGTTTAGCTACATACCTACAACTCTACACTGTTCTTGGCAGTTTTCTCGGTCTGGTTTTTAGTGGTTGCGTTGTTGTTTGGTTCTGTTCAGGGTGGCTGCGAAGCACAGTCACCTTTCTCCAACAACAATAACGCGAACAAGTTGGCCTTTTCGGACTTTTGCGCGCCCCCACACCAAAACATATCCTACGCGTGGGAAGCCTTTGTGTTTTGGGGACAGTCGATCAACTCGCCCTGTCCTGTTGAAAATGGTAGTCTTGAGCAGAACTTGCAACAGCGCATTTCCAAGATAGAAAGGAAGAACGCATGTTTGGCGTTGGCCCCTTTATTTGGTGGTTTTCAAGAGAACCCAAAAGGACACCCGACCGTTTCTTTTGAGGTTCCCTTTTTTTCAATCACACCCATACTTATCACCTTTCGGTCGCCAATTTGTTCATGAGTCGCATGTCTCGTTTTCCTTGTGGGTATCCGGACCCTCAAAATTCCCCTAAAAATGGGTGGCCCCAAAATTTATGGGGTAAATGCCTTTTTTCAATGAGTAGTTTGAGGGTTTAGGATTTTGTTTCAGAGCTGCGGGTTGGCTCCCCTTTCTGCTGGGGCGCGATTGATTCCGCGTGTTTTGGCGAGTGCGTGGGGCGGAAAAAACATCCCGAGGGAGGAGAAGGAGGAGGACCCCTTCTCCTGCAGCCTGCTGGGTCCCTTTCTGGGAGAGCCCGACCAGGAGACACGGGGTGGAGTTGGGGCGGGGTAGGTGGGGGTTGGCTTGGTGGGGTGGGGTGGGTTGGGCTGTAGTGGGGTGGGGTGTGGTTGGCTTGGGGTGGGGCCGGGTGGGGTTGGCTTGGGGGGTGGAGTGCGGGTACGCCTAGAGACATGTGTCTGTTTGTGTGGGTCCTCTCTGTAGGGTTGCTTTCAAGGAAGGCAAAGGGAAAGGCACCGCTTTGGGGTTCCCCCACTTGCCCAGACAAGGTGCCCAGTGCAACTTTGATTGGGTCTGTGTTTTTTTAGGGGGCCCCTTTTGTTGGTTGGATTGAATGGGAAAACACAAGGAAGTCCACCGTTGGGGTGCCCTAAAACAACAACAACAACATAAAGGGCTAAAAAATAAATAACACAAATGTGTTTTTTTGTTTTTTAAGCCAATAGGTAGATGGGTTGCTTCCCTCCTTCAACCTCCCTGAAGATGAAAGGTCGACCTGCGGCATGGAGTTTGCCATTTGTCAAACCATTTGTCGTCAAGGTGGTTCCCAGCTATCCCCTTAGGTTGTTCGCTGTTTCGGGTTAAGGGGGGGTGTCCGTAAAACCTCATCAAGACTTATTTTTGAAGGAGTCTAATCTTTGCTCTTGATTAATAGGGGGGGCCCCCCCCCCCCCTACAACAAGCCTGGGTCCAAATTGTGGGGGGGTGGAAGGGGGGAGGGGGGGATGGGAAGGCAGAGAGACAAGAAATAAGAAAAGTGAAGGGCAATTTAAAATTAAATTGAAGGTGCAGTTTTTTTGTGGAATTCTGGTTTGTAGATGGCATTTATTCTGAGGGGGTCTTATTATTGTAGGGGGTAGTGTAGGCCTGGCAGCTGGAATTTGGGGGCCAGTGGCTGCAGGGCTTGGCCATTATTCTGGGTAATGCTATTATTGTAGGGGGGCACCGCTTGCTGCGCCTTGCTGTGCAGAAGTCCATGCAAGGATGAAAAGTCTAAGGTCTTCAGTACAAGCTGAGTACTTGGGATTGCAAGTTTTGGTGCTGATGAAGTTTGGGATTTTGGAATTGTTTGGAGCTTTTGGTTTGGGAATGTGGGAACCAGTGGCTGCAGGGCTTGGCCATTATTCTGGGTAATGCTATTATTGTAGGGGGGCACCGCTTGCCGAGCCATGCTGTGCAGAAGTCCATGCAAGGATGAAAAGTCTAAGGTCTTCAGTACAAGCTGAGTACTTGGGATTGCAAGTTTTGGTGCTGGTAAGTTTGGGATTTTGGAATTGTTTGGAGCTTTGGGTTTGGGAATTTGTGGGCCAGTGGTTGCAGGGCTTGGCCACTATTCTGGGTACTGCTATTATTGTAGGGGGGCGCCGCTTGCTGAGCCTTGCTGTGCAGAAGTCCATGCAAGGATGAAAAGTCTAAGGTCTTCAGTACAAGCTGAGTACTTGGGATTGCAAGTTTTGGTGCTGATGAAGTTTGGGATTTTGGAATTGTTTAATTAGAGCTTTGGGTTTGGGAATTTGGGGGCCAGTGGCTGCAGGGCTTGGCTATTATTCTGGGTAATGCTATTATTGTAGGGGGGCACCGCTTGCTGAGCCTTGCTGCGCAGAAGTCCACGCAAGGATGAAAAGTCTAAGGTCTTCAGTACAAGCTGAGTACTTGGGATTGCAAGTTTTGCTGCTGATGAAGTTTGGGATTTTGGAATTGTTTGGAGCTTTTGGTTTGGGAATGTGGGAACCAGTGGCTGCGGGGCTTGGCTATTATTCTGGGTAATGCTATTATTGTAGGGGGGCACCGCTTGCTGAGCCTTGCTGTGCAGAAGTCCATGCAAGGATGAAAAGTCTAAGGTCTGAAGTCCATGCAAGGATGAAAAGTCTAAGGTCTTCAGTACAAGCTGGGTACTTGGGATTGCAAGTTTTGGTGCTGATGAAGTTTGGGATTTTGGAATTGTTTGGAGCTTTTGGTTTGGGAATGTGGGAACCAGTGGCTGCAGGGCTTGGCTATTATTCTGGGTCATGCTATTATTGTAGGGGGGCACCGCTTGCTGAGCCTTGCTGTGCAGAAGTCCATGCAAGGATGAAAAGTCTAAGGTCTTCAGTACAAGCTGAGTACTTGGGATTGCAAGTTTTGGTGCTGGTGAAGTTTGGGATTTTGGAATTGTTTGGAGCTTTGGGTTTGGGAATTTGGGGGCCCGTGGCTCTAGGGCTTGGCCATTATTTTGGGTACTGCTACTATTGTAGGGGGGGACCGCTTGCTGAGCCTTGCTGTGCAGAAGTCCATGCAAGGATGAAAAGTCTAAGGTTTTCAGTACAAGCTGAGTACTTGGGGTTGCAAGTTTTGGTGCTGGTGAAGCGTGTTGGAGCTTTGGGTTAACTGAGCACTTCTGAAACTCAAAGACAACCCCCCAGAGCTGAAAAAATCCAAAGCCACCACAGCAAGCAGCACAAGGAAAAAGGCGCCACGAGGAATAGCTTGCGCTTTCAAAGACAATGCCTTCTCCATTACACCAAAGAGATCTGCCAACAAGGCGGCGCGGGAAGGAATTCTGCTTGATCTGGCCCCCCGCTTGTCCCTTTGCTGTGGGGCTGTCGGCCTGAACTCAGCAGGCTGGCTAGGTCAAGCAACCCCAAGGGTCCAAGCTGGCCCTGCCACACCTGGAGCCACACAAAGTGCTGGGAAGCACACAACCTCCAGGACCAAACAGGTCTCCAAAACTGGCACTGCTACAGTGGAAGCTCACCGGAGCAAAAGCCAGGACAAGTGCCCGATTTGGTTTGCCACACCAGGGGAGCTCACTGAAGCCACGGGCCAGGCAGCAAGTGCTGGGGAAGCACCAGGGTCCAATAAACAACCCAAAGCCACCAACAAGTTTCCAAAGCAGCCCTGCCACACCAGTGGAACCTTGATGGGCCACAGGCAAGGCTTGCAAGTGCTGAGGAAGCAGCAGGTTTCAATAAACAACCCGAAGCACCCAACACGTGTCCAAAGCAGCCTGGCACACCAGTGGAACCTGGATGGGCCACAGGCGGCTTGCAAGTGCTGAGGAAGCAGCAGGTTTCAATAAACAACCCGAAGCACCCAACACGTGTCCAAAGCAGCCTGGCACACCAGTGGAACCTCGATGGGTCCAAGCCACACCAGTGAAAGTTCACTGGACCACCAGGCGAAGGCTTCTGGGAAGCACCAGATGCAACAAGTCTCCAAACTGGCACTGGAAGTTCACTTGGCCTCCAGGCAGGGCCGCAAAAGATTGCTCCAGCACATCAGCAGAAGCATTGTTACAGGCCCGGCAAACTGAAGGAAGGGGCAGGAGAACTGAGCACTTCTGAAACTCAAAGACAACCCCCAGAGCAGAAAAAAAGTCAAAGCCACCACAGCAAGAGGAAAGGAACCAGCACAAGGAAAAAGACGCCATCGGGAATTGAACTTAGGAGCTTCTGCTTTGAAGGGCAACACCTTATCCATTACACCAAAGAGATCTGTCAACCAGGCGGCGCGGGAAAGAATTCTGCTTGATCTGGCCCCTGTGTTTGTTTGCTTGGCTACCGGGTTTGAATTGCAATTAGTATTGGGGATAGTTTCGAATTTTGGGAGTTCTGGCCTCGGAAAAGTTATTATTCCGGGGGGATTTCTTGTGTCAACTGGGGCACCAAGACTAAACTATGTATTGGTAATTAAAAATAAGTCTTGGATTTTTTCTGGCCCGGGGCGAGAAAAAGTCATTATTCCGGGGGGATTTATTCATCAAGTCCTAAGATTACCCAGAGCCATGTCAAGAACTCGGGCGGATATGCGGTAGGCTACTCACCTACTCATGGTTGGATTGTTCCATAGCTTCATTTGCCTGGGTTTTGATCGTCCTCAGACCATCCATTTGCTTGACCTCTAAAACAGCTTTCTGAGTCCAAGTAAACAGTACTGGTACTCTTTGGACCTGAACAAAGAAGACCCCCAACTTGGTGCCCAGCCATCTCTTAGGTTTTTGTTGCTGTTTTAAGGGTTTAGCTTCTTCTTCTTTTTCGTTTAACCCACTCAAAGTTTAATTTTTAACATGGAATTTGAGGCTAACAAAGTAGTCACAGGAGAGGTGAAATGGCTAACGCATTTGTTCGCCGGACAGGTTGAAAATTTAGACAAAGAACAAAGGCAATATCTGTACAGGTGCATATTTTTGAATGGTGGGCCAGCTGGGGCTGTACAAAGCAACACCAAAAAATAGGTCCTGGTTTGCCCGCCACCCTGGTGGGGAATATCCCATTGAATGCGGTTTGCAATGCTTCGAGGGATTTGATGTCAATGTTCCCTCCATGACAAACTGGAAATCAATCACAGAATCCCCCAGTAAAGGATACGCATTGCATCATCCAGAAGCATCCACAGCACCTGGGTCCTTTACATGGGATGACCATTGGGAGACCCCAAAAACGATGACTTTCACCACTAGATGGGAAACGTTGCCCCGGGTCATGTTGGGGCCGAAGGGAATGCAGATCAACCCCCATCTACCCAAGTGTTGAACTTGTAGCTCGCCCCACCCACCCAACTGCAGCCCGCCCAACCAAGCTTCCCCATTCAAATCCTTGAGGGAAACCGCAAGAATGGCTGAACAGATTGGAAAAGGACTCAACCCCACCATTGTTGAGGGGATTTATTTGCCCATCAACCAGAAGTGTCCCCGGGGGAAAAACACACACAAACACACACAAACACAAGCACACACACACAAACACACACAAACACACACACACACACAAACACACACAAACACACACACACACAAGCACACACACAAACACACACACACAAGCACACAAACACACACACACACACACACACACACACACACACACACACACACACACACACACACACGCACACGCACACACACGCACAACACACGCACACGCACACGCACACGCACACGCACACGCACACGCACACGCACACGCACACGCACACGCACACGCACACGCACACGCACACGCACACGCACACGCAAACCCACACGCACACGCACACGCACACGCACACACACACACACAAACACACACACACACACAAACACACACACACAAACACACACACACAAACACACACACAAACACACACACACACAAACAAACACACACAAACACACACAAACACACACAAACACACAAACACACACACAAGCACACACACACACAAACACACACAAACACACACAAACACACACACACACACAAACACACACACAACCACACACAAACACACACAAACACACACACAAACACACACACAAAACACACAAACACACACAAAACACACACACACACACATTTGGCCTAACGAGCAAAAAACGCTTCAAAGCTTGACATGGGAAGTGGAGATGGGAACTCAGGACTCAAAACCCGGGTAAGTCAAGGCAAGGCACAGACCCAGCCGAATGTTTTGGCGGATATCCGCCTTCGTAGCTCTTTACATTGGCTTAGGTGCACCACTTAATACCGCCCCCCCAGGGGCAACCAAAAAAGGATGCCCTGCTTTCCCAAGGGCCACTGGGCATCTGAGCGCCGATCGGTTGGGATCAGGAGGTCTACTACTACGACTTGGAGAACCGTTTGGCCTAACGAGCAAAAAACGCTTCAAAGCTTGACATGGGAAGTGGAGATGGGAACTCAGGACTCAAAACCCGGGTAAGTCAAGGCAAGGCACAGACCCAGCCGAATGTTTTGGCGGATATCCGCCTTCGTAGCTCTTTACATTGGCTTAGGTGCACCACTTAATACCGCCCCCCCAGGGGCAACCAAAAAAGGATGCCCTGCTTTCCCAAGGGCCACTGGGCATCTGAGCGCCGATCGGTTGGGATCAGGAGGTCTACTACTACGACTTGGAGAACCGTGAGTTCGCCGGGCCGCCGAAGCAGCTGTTCGCCGGTGTCGGTTTTACTGTTCCTCAGCAAGGCCCAAAGCGAAGCCACGACGCAGAACCTCTAATCCAACTATAGGTTCTCTAGCGGTGCCCTTTTACCGTTTTTTTTTGTTGGGAATGTTCCCCTAGTAAAATAGACTACAGAAAAAAGGGTGTCCTTATTCTAACCTCTCTACTGTAGGACCTAGCCAAACGGCCAAGTAGAGAGCAGCTGAATTATGAAGGTGCTTCTGAACTGTCCCTTACTTCCAGTTTGAGCGTTATAGTAAGTTGCCGAGTTGAAAGGACTTTGTGCTTTTTCGGAAGACCATTTGAGTGGTAAACAAACATTGTTCTTTTTGGCCAATCCGCTCCGGTTTTCGGCTCAAAAATAGTTCTGCGGTTTGCTGTTGGGCGTGTGTTGCCGCACCCTTGGGGTTGGTTCAAAAGGGGGGATCCAGCCGCAAGCCACTTTTGGGAGGTTCACTCATGAGGGGTGTCCAAATCCCTATTGTGGCACATCCCGTTGCTGCGGTGGGTGTCCCGTTTTTGGGGGGTCTCCTCTAAGATCATGTTTAATTTGGAGGTAGATTCAATATGGGGGGCGGAGTGTATTGCTTGATGGTTTATCAGTTTTGTTGTTTTAAAGAGAGACCAGTCGGAAAACCATGTTTAGGGATCGCAAAAAAAGGGACACCTACATACAGAGTCTGAAAACTTGAGTTTCTCTGCGCCCCAAATGGGTATGGGTCAAAATTAAACCACCAGGGGGGCGCAGGTTTTAGTCCTTGGTTTCATTTACCAGGGCTCCATTTAGGGTACCTATTGCTGACCCACAACCAAATGTGGGTGTGCCACGGCCGACAAATTGGCCCCCGGTGTCGGTTCATTTCCAAGGTAAGGAAGGCGCAGGAGGAGCAGGGAGTACTGAGCCTGACTCAGGCGCGGGTGGTCACCCCCGACTTTTTTTTCCCCCTTGAGGCTCGAAAAGCGCCGCTTTTTTCAGGTTGGCAAGGGAAACCACAGGGAAGGGCACATTTGGGTCCAAATCCCGATTTTTACACATTGGGGGTTGATGAAACGGTCCTTTGAATGGGATGACCATTGGAAAATCACAAGAAACAATTGATATTTTAGCCACCTGCCCAACTGGGGTTGTCTCGCTTTATTTGGGGGGGGGTAATCCGAAAAAGGACACCCAACTGGTGGATGCAGATAGGTGCGCCTTTTTTCCAGTATGTCAACCATGTCAACCATGTTTCCATCCCGAATGATTCGCGCATGTTGTGGATTTCGACTACCCATTCGTAGGGTCTTTAGGGTCGCTAAGAAACAAGACCACTATTTGGGTTGGTTGGTTGAAATAGCTTGTTTGAACAACATGATGGTTTGGTCACTTCAAAACAGGAACTCTTAGGTCTAAGGCCTTTTGCCTCTGGGAGGGGCTTAGATGAACCACCCTAAGAGTATCAGAGGCTGTTGTGGGCCAACCCCGTCGTGTGTGACTGATTGGCCTTGGTTGACCCACCCTTAGATCAACCACCCTTGAAGATTAAAAGGATAAGGCTTTCATCAGTTCTCAAAAAGAAGGCTTGCGGTGATTTCTGCTTTGCCCGGAGTTTCGTTGGGGAAAGTCATACTTTCTGTAGAGGGCCCCACAGCCCCAGGATCCTTGGGTTGCATTTTTTTTCTACGGGAACCCCAGAAATTGAAGATCCGTAACATGAGTCATTCAGAAAACCGCCCCGGGGATTGAGACGGGGAAGCACTCCGGACAATGAACATCTTGGAGGTAATGTTGACCCGGATCTAAGTAGAACCCCTGGTTGATTTTTTGATCGGGGGGTGTCCAATTCCTTTTAGTGGTTGAATTCAGACCACTTTTGGAGGGGTTTTCACCCCCCCTAGTAATGGGACAGGTTTATTAATCCTGGGTCAACATTCTCCATCTCAAGACTTTTCTCACCCAATGAAAGAGGGGTATGTGCCAAAGGGGCAGAAGCGAAAATGGTCCGGCTCCAAAAAGATTCCCCCCCACCCCCCGGAAGGGAACGGGAAAAGCGTCAGGTTGGACCGGATGGATCGCACCGCGGTTTTTTGTCTCCAGTTGAGCACCCTGGTGAAAGATGCGGAGCAGAAGGTGACGGATCTCTTCCATGGCAGGCCAGTCGATGTGCGGAGGTGATTTGTTGGGCTTTGCCAGACCCTTCTCGGGTTAGTTTGAAAGAAGCCAAACTATTTCATGTTTTTTGGTTACGTTTTGACAAGCAATACGTGCCCAAAAAGGGTTCCAGCTTGATCCAATGGCCTTTTGTGCTTGGAAAGGGACGCATGAGGAAACTGAAGCCCATTTGGCAGTACCGGTCCCCAAGCAACCAACACATCGGTTTAGGCCACCTAAATAATAAAATGGGATGGTCAAGGGCAGCTGACGATGTGCCCCTAAACTCTTGGCCCCATGCGTGGATCCGAAGCCCGTTTGGGTTGGAACACCCTCCCAGGTGCGTTGCATAACTCCCCAAATTGGTCCCTTTGGGGTCAATGCCAATTTGCACGTCTGGAGAAACTTCCCAAGAGACCTCGCGACGAGACGTACATGAAGCCTTCGCTGGGCTTATGTGACGGTGTTCCTCGTTGAATGGGAACCGCGGATCCAAGTAGAGCTGGTCTTATTTTTGCTGGGGGGGGGGGGTTCCCCTCCAAAAGTGGGTTGTTTCCCGGAGACACCCTCCGATCAACCTCAAGGCTCTACTTAGATTCGGGGTTCGCATAGCTGTAAAACTCATAGGTCGGTAAGCTATCAAACAAACTTGGGTAGATAAAGGGTAAGGGACGGACCCCTCCAAGGGCGAGGATGTCCGCCCGCTTGTTTCTATTTGTTTCATTCAGACCCCTTGAGCAATGTCGACAGGATTAATCAACCCCTGTTGAGTTTGAAGCATAGCAAACATGAGTTTTGCGGGGCAACGGTGAAGCCCAAGCAGACGGGGGCTGTGGGGCGGGGGTGCTGTCCCATATTGTTGTCAACCCCTGAAACAAATGCCCTTGTTAAGAGCATATCCTTGGGTCAAAGGCAATCCTAAAACCTTTTCGGGGAGCTCACTTGTGAATTCACCAGGTGAGCTCAGGTGGACGAATGTGTTTGGATACCCTCTTGTCCACTACGCACTTGCTGGTGCGATGGGTAATGACCTTTGGAGTCAGGGTGTTGGGAATGAACCGGAAGGGATTCCCTTAAAGGAATCGTACGAGAGTTCAATCGAACTCATTCCCTACAAATCGCACCAGCAAGTACCATGCATGGGATCCTGGACCGAGTTTGCTAAGGGGACCGTGTGTTTTGTGGGTTCCTTTGCCTGTAAATCTGGCCCCCCTGCAGGAACGATTATGAGGTTGTGAAAACACATGGGGCCTCGAGTTGTGAAACATGTGGGTGACTGTTTTTGATTTGGACCCCGAAAAGCAGTGGTTTTTGAACCAAACAAAAACCACTGCTTTTCGGGATTTTCACTTTGAAGCCACCAAAAAAGGGACGCCTCAAAAAAGAGACACCATGACACACCCATATAGGCCTCTTTTTGTGCTCTGTTTGCAGCCTTCATCACAAAGGGCTCCTACTCTTGGCAACTCCTCGGGTGTTTCTTCGCACAACTTGCTGGTTCTTCGCGCGGATTGAGGGAATGACCGCTATGAACCGTCCCAGAAACGGCTTAATTATTTCCAGCTCCCTGCCATGGATACTCGGAGAGCAAAAAGGATTGTGGTCCATAATTGGGATTGTGCCACGGACACTTGGAGTCAATTTTGCGGACTCAAGCTCTGAAACACCAATAATTGAACTGAAGGAGGTTGCAAAAGAAGCCCTGCACAGGCCCATCGTACCGAGGGGGCGGGGGGGGGCGGTGCCTTCTGCTTCATGCCTCTTCTCCTCGCAGGGCAGACCTCCTGGACACAGACCTCGACGGCGGGGGGCTTCCAGCAAGCGAAAGCTTCGAGACCCGTGCTTGTTTCCGGGAAGAAAAGGTGGCGGTTTCGGGAGCTGCGGTTATCCGGGGTTCTCTATGCTTCTATTTGCTTAAGAATATTTGTTGTTTTTCCCTCTTGGTTTTAAAGGGAATCTATCACTACTGGAAATATTTCATATTTGTTTCAGGGGCTTAAGCACATGGAAGCTGGTACGGGTGGCATGTGTTTGTTTTTTTTGCACAATGCTCAACCTTTTACTCAGTGAAGAGCAGCCTTACTTTGTACATTTCTAGGGTGTCCAAATGTCTTTCCAAGGTGAGGGTGGCTTGCAGCGTTTTCATGGTGGTTTCAACCGATTTTATGTGACTCAAGGATTTCTCGCGGGGTCGGATCTGATCCTCCTAATTTGTGGAGGGTGCTGATTGGGTGTGCATGTGTCTTATATTTTAAGGGACAGGGTCCTACAAACTCGTTGGAGCTCCTTTTTCGCTTATTTGTTTACATGTTGAAAGGTGCCACCGCGTGTTGTTCTCCCAGCCACTTGATTTGCAGTTCGAAAGTGGATGGCGCAAGTCCATGTGCTGAGCAGGTCATGCCCTTTGCTTACACGCATCTACATCTACTTTCACCCGGGAAGGGGGGCAACTGGGTAGCCATTCCTCGGGACTACACCACAAGCTTCCATTTGTTTAAGAACAGTTTTTTTTGTTTTTTTTAATTGAATTCCCTGTTAGTTTGCAAAAGGAATCGCTCACTACTGGAAATGATATATTTTGTTTATTGATTTTTACCAGGGGCTTAAGCAAATGGAACCAAGGCATGTGCGATGTCTGGTTCTTCTGGCCCCACCAATGCAGGACCGGTTTCTTGCGGCCATCAGGTTCCACATGCTTTGGGGTACATGGCCAGAATCAGGTCACTGTGGACGAAATCCATTTCGCACCACCTAAGACTTAAGAAACCCTGGAAGTTTATTATTCTCCTGTAAATACCAAATGAAGAAGGGTTTTGTTGTGGGGTCAAAGCGGTGCAGGATTTTTTCCATCCACTATTGTTTTTGTGTACCCCAGATTTGGACCAAGGGTAGTTTCCACCGCCCCTTTTTGGCCCCAAGCAACGCACCGCGCATCGGCGCCACAATTTCTTTCAGGCGATGAGGCTATGGCGCGGCGGCCAAGTCCGGGAGCAGCGCGAGCCGATTCAAGGGCCACATGTTTCTAGCCGGCTGCTATGTGCGTTTCAGAATAGGTTTGTCATTTTCCCCCTGTTGATTTTAAAGGGAATCAATCTATCACTGCTGGATTTGTTTTATATTTTTTTTTCCGGGGGGCTTAAGCAAATGGAAGCTGGTACGGGTGGCTGGTTTTCTTCGAGGCGAAGGGTATATTTTTCGGGATGAAAAGGGCAGCCAAAAGGAAAACCATCATATTTGGGCTCTCTCAGAAAAGAGACCTTCATAAAGGTTGTTATAAGGCGTACCTCAACCTTCATGGCCATGTCAGTAGATCCAAAAGTCGATGGGTGAAACGGACGCCCTTTTTTCCGGGCACATGGCGCAGTCAAGTTGCAAAATCATAGACAACCCGTACATGGTACGTGTGTTTGTGTGAGTGTGTTCGTGGCTTGTCCGATTCCGAAATTCTGATTCAGGGGGGCTCATGGCGCAGGAACTGAGTTTCGCCCCTTGGCCTTCAAACAAAAGTGGCTTGGTGTCCTTTCTTGTCCAATGCATTTCCAGCCTGATTTGGCAGGTGGGGTATCGACGTATCGATATCGTCTGGTGTCCGGTTGTGTTTTTTTGGTTGGGTACGTGCTCAAAACCCAGGAAGATGCAGGGTAAGGGACAGGTTCAGCTCGAAGGTGAGGCCTCTCACATATACTTCACGCAGCTTTAGACCACTAGGTCCCCCAGTGCCCTTCTCACCCCTTTTTTGGTTGGGAGATTCGGTTCCCCCTGAATAGACGACAGAAAAGCAGTTTATATACCCTTATTCCAACCTCACTGGAGGACCTATTCTTCACGCAGCTTTCGGCCACTTCAGTACCGGACGTGGGATGAAGATGGGTCTCAGGGCCTGGATTCGGGTGGAGTACTTGGGGGACCTTGGGGGATCTTGGCGGCACGGGGGGGGGTGTCAGAAATTCAGAAATCAGATGCGGACCCACGAGACGCTTCGGGCCATGCCACGGACTCAAAGAGGTCCTGCAACTCTCTTGGGCTGTTGCTCACTTGAGTCACTTTTGCTCAAAACCGATTCGGGTAGATGAAGGTTAGTAAGGGACGATCCCAACCAGAAGTAGCTGCGGAATTCCGGCTTCTAAATTCTTTACATGGTTCTGGGTAGACCATTTTAATACCGGGTGTTGATTGTGACTCATTTGGCAAGGAATTCCCACAGAAGGAACGGGCCCTGACTTTGATGACTGGGGGAGGGGGTTAAGTAAATGATTTGCAATGCTACTGTGGATGGGCGAATTCCATTTCGCACCACCTGAGAAACCTGGGAATCATGATTCCCTTGTAAATACCAACCAACAATGGCTTCCTATGGTTTCAAAGTGGTGCAGGATTTCGTCCATCCACAGTAGTTAGGATGTACAAGGAGGCGCAAACTCCCTTCTGTTGGCCTGTGTTTGACTCTGCCGGAGCTTGGTTGCTCGCTGGCAATGTTCACCCCGGATTAATAAACCCCTGGTTGATTTTGATCGGGGGGTGTCCCCCTTTAGTGGGGATTCAGACCACTTTTGGTGGGGTTTTCACCCCCCTAATAGTGGGACGGGTTTATTAATTCTTCCCTCCAAAAGTGGTCTGAATCCCCACTAAAGGGGGCACCCCCCGATCAAAATCAACCAGGGGTTCTACATAGATCCGGAGTGAAGATTAATTTTCAACCCTACCAAAACAGCCCCGGCTCCTGGGAGCTTCTGAAGCCCAGGGCTTCGGGGAGTGGTGCTGCTACCTCCTCCGCGGCTGCACCAAGCGCCGGAAGTGCATGCCGCGCACCCAGTCTCAGCGCCCGAAGCTCCCGTCCAAATGAAGAATACGGGCCCGAAAAACGTGGAGAACCAGCGCCTTCAACTTCCCTTCTTCTCAGGGTCTTCAGAAGGTGTGTCCTGTTTTTGAGGATATGTTTTCCGTTTTTTTGCTTGGGATGTTTTAAGCGGAGCCAAGAGGAAGCAACGCATTTGGGGGTCCTCTACTTTAAGCCAAAAAGTGTGCCTTTTGATAACTCGGACGTTTAATGGTTGGATTAAGCCCCCGTTAGGCACATGAGCGTGATTGTTGTTGAGGGCGCCCTACATGTATGGCCGTGTTCAACCGTTTTCTGTTGTCAGTATCGTGTTTTCCCGTTGGGACGCGTTTAAACTTTGCGGTTGCAACTTTGTATTGAGTTTCCTTTTTAGTAGGGTGATGTTCAAGGAGAAACAATGGTCGTGATGTGGACCAAAGCTCTCCATACATGACTTCTTTTGCGCCAACTTGCCGGGAAACATTTATGGGTCAGGAGCCGACAGGGAGTCCTTGGAACAGTCGAGTCGCTTGAAACCCCCAAGATTTACCACGCTTCATAGCTAGTGCAATTGCAATATGGGTGTGTCTTGGTTTAAGGGAACCCGCAAAATTGTAATTTCCTTTTGGCTTCCCTTTCAAACAACCAAAGGGTACCCTCAAAAAGACACCCATATTCAATTGAATTGAACAGGGGTCACCGGAATTCCCCCGGTCGAAATCTCAATCCTTTTCTCGTAGGTGTCCATGAAACTGCAACTTTTGGATGTCCAAAAAATGGAATCATGCTGACCCTGGATCTAAGTGGAACCCGTCCTGCTACTAGGGGTCGGCGGTTTCCTCCTACAGTGATGAATCCCCACACAAATGGGACAACCCCGATCAACAGGCTTATGAATCTGGGGTCAACATTCGCCATCCAGCTTGGATGTCCCACCAGAGCAGCCAGACATGCTGTTTTCAGAACCCTTGGATCAGAAACCCGCACGTCTGAGCTCCTTGAATTCGCATTTCGGAGGGTCTACTGGTTTGCCATAGGTTTCCAGTCAAGAGGAGCTCGTCGCCTGGAATTTCTGGAGAGGACTCTAAACTTTTTGGGATAGTTTTAGTCTAGGTCCCCCAGTGCCCTTTCTCACCCCTTGTTTGGGAGGGTTCCCCTAAAATAGACTACGCAAAAAGGTTGGTACCCTTATTCTAACCTCTCTACTGGAGGACCTAGTCGTGGCTGAGATGGAAGAGGAAGGAAGGCGTTGGATTCGATTATGACGAGCTTACGGAGAGATTCCGAGCGCATAGGATTCCTTATTTCCGGTTTGAGGATCATTGTACTTTTCTACTGCAAGGGCTCAAGGTTCTCGGTTTAAATTGGAGACCCCCGAATCATGAGACTTCCATAAGTTGGCACGCTTGTTTTCATACTGTGGATGGACGAAGTCCATTTCGCACTACTTAAATACCATGAGAAACCAATGTTGGTTGGTATTTACAGGGGAATCATCGTTCCAGGATTTCTTAGATGATGCAGAATTTCGTCCATCCACAGTGCTTGTTCCAGATCCAATTCTCGGCATCGGATCACTCAAATGTGTGGCAGGGAGCGCGAGCGCCGCCTGCCCTGGCGAATCCTGCTCTGCGTCACGCGGGCCGCGGGCCCAGAAACGTTTCCCCGAAGCGGCTCGTTGGATGCGGGGTCGGTGACGTGGTTCTCACTTGCCCAAAGCAAATCGACCTTTTAACCTTTGGGTTTCCCTGATTTGGTCCATTTTTAGTAAAGGTCCCAAAAGGTTAACTCTTTCTTTCCAGGTTCGGTCAAACCAAATCGCTGTGGTACATGTGGGGACGTTGGGCGTTGGCCGTAGGGGAGATTCCGCCAAAAAGTTCGCACGGGGAGCCCAGGAAAGGAGAGCCTGCAATTGTCCGAGGCAGTTCGTAGGATAGGGTTGCTGAGGTCCTCGCAACTCACTTCCTGAGTTCATGAACTTTAAACTTTTTGGGAAGACCATTTTAGTGGTGAATATAAAGTTTGGACTTTTTGTGGAACTATTGCAATATCCCAGCATTCATGCTTGGAATAAAAAAGCGACATGACAGCTTCTTCGTCTTGCATTCCAAAGCAAGATAGTGCGGCTGCGAAATGGGAAACAGTTGGTTGGTGATATTTCTCCCAGCATTCATAGAGCCTCATCCGTTTCGTCCGGTGCAGGACTTGGTCCATACAACCATTGATAACAAGCTGGGTGCATCTGGGCTGGGGCTTGTTGATTTTTCCATCCCAATAATCAGTTGGAGCAACTTGAAATGAGATGAAAGCCATGATGGCGGCTGTCACATGGTTACCCTGTGCTGCATCTCCGCTCTTTTCATCAACCAGCGAATTGGTGGCTTGGGTTTTGAGCCCCTGGTGGTTTTCTAGCGGGTAAAGCAAAAACCACCCCCTAAAATCCAAACCACTAAATCAGGGGAATCTGAAGTCTTGCTTTTCCAGGAGCTCAAAGATCCATTCGAGCAACCACGGAGGATCTTGACTTTTACCCCGGTTGGTAACCCAAGTTGCGTGCGTGTTTTTGGGCATAGACAGCCGTCCCCATTTGAAGACACATCCGTTTACCGCTCCTGACCTTGGTTGTAGGTGATTCTACCTATGTGGCGAGGTCACTGAGTGGGGGGGGGGGGGGGTAAAATTGGAGCGACCACCATGATGTAGGTCCTGGATCTGGGGATCCCCTACAACTTCATGTTGGATTTTTGTAGAACTTGCAGAAAAAAAGGCGGGGGTTGTCCGGCAGAAGCAGTTCTGTTTGTTTGTTTTGTTGTTTCTTCCGTTTCCAGGAAATGGGGAGTAAAGCGAAGCTTCCTCCGTTTCTCTTTTTGGAACCTCCAAACGTGGCCATCGGTCAATGGACGCCACCAGCGACTGATCAATTTTTGCTTCGGGAAATGTGACCCCTCACAGACAGCCATCTCTCGGATGGTCTTCAAAGGCAAACCCATTTGCTTAAGAATATGTTTTCTTGTTTCCCTTGTTGGTTTCAAAGTGACCGATTTCACTACCTGTTTTTTTCTTGGGGGAGGAAAAGCAGATTGAGTAATCAAAACCGAGAGGAAACGCAAGCCGACGGCAGGCGAGCCAGGTGAGCTGGCGCGGGGCCTCGAAGGGAATTTCATGGGTGCCGGGGATGTTCTTAGAAGGTTCCCCTTGTATGGTGGTTAGATTCGCCCACTCTGTGCTGATGGTGATTTCTAAACCAGGGCTTCCGAGTCCAGCCAAAACTTAAAAGGCTTCTCAAAATCAAGGTACCCAGCAAAATGGTCAGTGTCCCCTCCAAAAATCAAGCAGGGTTGTGGGAGGGATCACTCGGGGTTTATATGGGGAGCTAATGTCTTTGGGCGTTAGGCCCTTTCTGTTGTATCACAGGAGTGGATTTCATCTGCCACAGCCCTGCTTTTAAGGGGTCAAAACCAGGGAAGCCAAAGGGAACCCCACTTGGGGTTTCAAATCCTATTTTGACACGTAAATACAGTATTCCAGCATAGTACTGCCAGGGTTTGGACATATTTGGGCTCATATAGACCATGTTGAACATCACTTCGTCCAGTTGATCTAAGAAGAAAGCTCCCAAGCGAGGAAGGTTAGGTTCCCTGAAGCATATGGGTATGTGACAATACGGGGGACACAAGCAAATAGAGGGGTTCCTTTTGGTTTTCCTTTGCACCAAGACCAAAAGGGCTCCCTTCAGAGAAAAGCAAAACCACCTATCCACTGTCTGACCGTCGTACGGATTATGATTGGCCGTGGCAGCGGAGCAGGACCTTGCTCTATATGCTTTGCACACCTTGAGTCATACTGTGGATGGTTGCGAAATCCATTTTGCACCACCTAAGAAAGCACTGGATTGATGATTCGCCTGTAAATGCCCACGAACGTTATGGTTTCCCATGATGTCTTAGGTGGTGTCCATCCACAGTAGGTCTACAACTCCTTAGTTTCAGTAAGAGACATTTTTTCCTCTATGATTGTCATGGGCCTGTTGTTGCCCATTTGTCGTTATCGCCGACAGCCGAAACAGATGGCCAGACACATTGGAGTTCGGAGGGAGGGTTTCGCGCAGGCCCCATCAAGATTGGTTTTGTCAAGTCAGACTCCCGGATCAAATGTTGGTGGGTCAGATGTCAACTGCCGCTTGGCGTTTTTCTTAACATACCCAATTCGTCCTTACGGAATCTTACTTTGCTTGGTGGCTCCCAGCCATCCCCTTTGCTTTTTAGCTTTTTATTTAGTGTTTAGTGGGGATTTCCATTTCACCCACTAACAGTTAGTCACTTTTAGCGGGGCATCTGAGGGCAGCCCAATTTGCCCGCCCCCTTAAGGGGAAGCCGGTCCAACAAACAAATCCCCCCGCGCCAGGCACCGGGTTTTTTCCCCATTTCGGGCGGGTCGAAATCTCGGGAGGTATTGAGCCCGGATCCTTCCTTTGCTATTGGGTTGGATATTTCGACTTTGACTTTGTTTTGGAAATCACGGGGGTTTTCCGGAAGAAGAAAAAACACAAACAAGGAACAACTTGTTGATTGAGATTTGGTGGGTTGTTGTTGGAAATCAAGGGGTTTCCCCGAATTAAACCCACAAGAAGTGAAACGCAGCTTTTTGCAGGAGGGGTCGCTACAGCAAGCCAAGTTTTGTTGTTTTTTTTTTCCCGGAGGTTTTGGGGGCAGGTTGCTTGCTTGACCTTCGCCCTCGCCACGTTCGCCGATTCCCCGACGGTTGCACAGGTTCCTCCTGGGCCTGTCACTCACGCTGCAGAACACCGGCGTCCTGCCGGGGGGCCAGACAGATGCATTCCGGCTGGTCGGGGATATCGGGGACGGCCACAAACCGAAATTTGTCCCAGCCGGATCTTGGGGTTTCTTGCAAAATATGCGTGATTTGGGTAAAAACAACCACACAACAGGGGAGACATGGGAGACTAAATGTTGAGCAGAGTCCGAGCATATGATTTGTGGTACACCATGGTACACTCCATGTTGGCCAAGACAAGCTAAAGTCCCAGCCGGATGAATCTGCTTTTGCTTGCATGGGGTCCCTTTGTCTATCTGCATGCTCTTTGCAGAGGCAAAGGGTATGGAGTATACACAGTAACTCGGACTAGTAACCCCAAGTTGTCATGGTGGCGTGTCTCATTTGATTGGGGTTGCCTTTGCTTTCCTTCGGTAACCCCAAAGGGGTAGCCTCCAGAAAAGATACGCCTATGATCTAGGATCTCCTTGAGTTTTGTTCGGCGCTGATTAGCGTGTCATTAAATTTCGGCTAAAGTTGTCTTGGGATAGTTTTCCTGTGAAGCAAGTCGAACAACCGTTGCTTTTTTGATTGGTCTCTTTTGGGTATGGCGCCCGATTTGGGGTCCCAACTCTCCCCCCAACTCTCCCCAACTCCCCGTTCCTCAAAGGAAGCGGCTGAAGCCGCTTCTGACACCAGGGGGTGTGAACACCAGGACGCGAGAGTTGCGAGATTTTTTGAGCTCCGAATCCCAAGAAAGGAAAATCAACGTGGGTGTGGCTGAAAATTCAATAGCCGGGGTTTGGCAGCCTTTATTTTTGCAGGGTTCCATGTCGGACCCCCATTTTTGAGCCACCAGCGTCCTTTTAAAAACCCATCGCTGTTTCCCGTGGGGTTCTGATGCTTTTCTGGAAAGCTCCGGATCCCTGGGTTCAGAATGGAAATGGAAGTGTTGCCTGGAATCAATGCGGTCGTTTTTAAACCCGAGGCCCAAGTACGACTTGCTGGTCCTGAAGTCGGAGGAGGGGGAGGAGCACGGCGAGCACGCGGAGCACGGCGAGCACGGCGAGGCCTGGGGATTTTTGTTGCGGAATGCGCTGCTTGCGACCAAAGCGCATGGACCTGATCTGAGCTTCTGGTGGTCAGATTTGGGTTCAACCCATTTTGGTGGCCCCAAAAAGGTGAAAAGCACCTTGATGATCCTTGATGTCCTGGATTCTTTGGGCTTGCAACCGACATGAGGGAACGACCCCCCATGAACAGCAAACGTATCCTTTCAGTTGGAGTTTCGTGCTGGAAGCCAGCGATTCGGCGAGCTCCCCGATTCGGCAAGCTCACCGATTGGGGGGTAGAACGAGCTTATAGCTTATCACGTAGTATAGGTCCTTTACTTCGGGACAGTTGTTGGACAGATTATGGAAAAAAGTGCACTGCGATCGGTTTTTGGGGTGAAGTATGCCCTTTTTTACACCTGAAAGCCTTCCTCAGAACTTGGATCTTCTGGGGCGTATGAACCCTGCGGTTCGTTGCCTTTCAAAGAATGGCAAGGACCCGACTTGGCCGATGAAGCTCCGGAACGGTAAAGAATGCTGGTGAGACTAACCCAACCTAAGGTAAATGATGCTGGTTAGATTCACCCAAGCTGTGTTTTGATTGTGGCAACTGAACGCCAGACCTTAAGAATCGAGTCATTGCTCAAAAGGCGTCTCCAAATCAAGGTACCCCCCAAAATGGTCGGCGTCCCAATATCTCGTTCCTGGCCTTAAACACGTTTTGGGCTTGGACCATGTTGGTGGTAACAAGAGCTAGAACCCCAGGAACATATGGGTCTGTCTGTCTGTCTTTTTTTGGGGGTTACCCTACCCTGGGGGGTTGCCATTCCCTGGGAGCCCGGGACCTCCCGTTTTTTGGGCCGTCCACCCGGGCAGCTTCCCAAACGGGGCCCGAGCCTCGAGGTGCACGAAGTGGAGCACGTGGAGGGCGAGGGCGCGGAAGCCCACGAGGGCCACGAGGGCCACGAGGGCCACGAGGGCCACGGGGGCCACGGGGGAAGGAGGCGAGGGGCAGGGGATGTTTTTTTTTTTTTCCTGGTTATCTCACTTCCCAAGTGTGTGGATGTTGACTTCTTATGTTGATGTTTGTTGCGAGAGTGTGTGTGTGTGTGTCTATTTTGACTTCTTCAGTTTGTTGTTTTTTGCTCTTTCTTTCTTTTTCTCGGCGGGGGCTGAGGGGGAAGCCATTTTAGAGGTAAACAAACAGTTTAGACAACTAAATATTCTCAGGCAGTGAGTTTTCGATGCGCATTCGGAGAGTGCCCTGTCCAGGGATTCAAGAAACACCTAGAGGAAAAGCGCCATGTCTGTGCCGCTAATTTGGCACATTTACCGAGTCCCCCTGTTCGGGAAGTAGACATCCGCTTTGGGTTGCCAGTGAGTTGCCAGTGAGGCAACGAAGCCTTTTGAGGGGTGGCAGTGCCAGGGTCTGACTTTCGCCTTGGGGAGTAGGCCGTGGGTGAAAGGTCCTTTTGGGGACTTCTCTTTGTTGCATTTTGCCAAGGGATGTTAGGACTGAACAACTTTTTGCCAACGAATGGGTTTTCCGTATTAAACCACTAAAAGTTGAAACTTTTAGCAGGGGAGCAGATTTCGCAACCGAGTTCTTGTTTGCGTGTTTTGGACTTGTTTTGACAATTTGCAGATGAGGTGGCCCTCAATCCAATTTTGTGTGGCTGGGCAAACATATGGTCCTTTAAGATTGTGTTGTTTTGTTTTGAAGTCAACACCACTGTCCGTGTGAACAAAACAAGAAGGGTCCACTTTCCCTTGGGAATCCTTTGCAGACAGCCGCCAGCAACTGACCAAGGGAAACCAAGAGAATAGAACCAGCCTTTTAATACCAAAGGACAGAACAAGGAAACTGGGATCCACTTGGTGGAGCAAAGGAAGGGGCCTTTTCTCCAAAAAAACCCACCTGCACAAGCAGATGTAGCTTTCAGTTGACCTGTCAAGGGAATCCCTGGCCTGAGCGTTTGTCAAAATCAGGAAGAAATTCCCACTTCAAGCTTCCATTTGCTGAAGAATATGTCCTTTTTTCCCCTCTTGGTTTCAAACGGAATCTATCACTACTGGACGGATGTTCTCAATTTTTTCTAGGGGACCAAAAAGCAAATGGAAGTAACAAGATCCAAAGTGGAGTCCTGCATCGCGACCGACCATCGCCCACCTCGTGTTGAGAAAATGGGCAGTGCCACGGATCCCGCAACCCTGTTAGACTTGCTGCCACAGGGGAACACTCTTGAAAGAAGCAGTATTGATGGGAGTCCCACGTTGGTACTTTGCACGAAGTCCCTTTCGCGCCACTTTGGAGCCATGGTTGAAAACAAATATGTTGCCAGGCGAATGGAATCATTCCAGGGTTTCTGAACGATGGTGCGAAATGGATTTCGCAACCATCCACCGTGTCACACGGGTCAAAAAGTCGCAATGGAACCAACCGCCTGGCGCGGTTACCGCCAGGCTGGCGGTCGGTTGGGACTTCCAGGTCTTAAATGTGACGGCCGCTTGGTGCAGAACCAGGGGGGTCGAGGGGCGAGGTCTGGGCAGGCTAATGTTGACCCAGGATTTAAGTAGAACCCGTCCCATTATTAGGGGGGTGAAAACCCCTCCAAAAGTGGTCTGACTCCCGACTAAAAGGAATTGGACACCCCCCGATCAAAAAATCTACCAGGGGTTCTACTTAGATCCGGGCTCAGCATTAAGGCAGCCTGATGGCTTAGAGAAGACCCGAAATCAGGCTCATTTTTTTTACCAGACATGGGTGGCTCGTCCGATTTTGTTTTGGGAGCTGGTGTGGGTGCCGATGTTTTTTTTGTGGCTTAACGAAACCAAGAGGAAAACCCACGTCTTGGGGTCCACTGAAACAAGGGCGCATGGTCCCAGGGGCCTTGGGGGCCAGGGAGGCGGGAAAAACCCCCCATGGCAGCCCTTCCATGGCAGCCCCAAAAAAAGGGGTCAGGCCAAAAGGAAAAGCAAAGCTGGGCGGCTCCCAGCCATCCCTGTTCTCGATATGGCTGTGGGTCAAGACCCTAGGCAGAATCCACAAGCGATTGTCAAATCCCGAAGAGTTGAAGAAGCTCCACCTCCAGCATCATCACATGACAACAGATCAATTTTGATTCAGAACTCGCTCGCTTCATTTGCCCCCATTTTGGTGGGTAGGTAGATGCACCACCCATTTTAGAACCTGGGCATGATTTGGCAGATCAATAACTCGATGACCCGGGCAGTTTGTTGTACACGCAGTACATACGAAATGGTGTTCACCGCGGTGTTGCCGGAAATTTCATTTGGCGGACGCACGAAATGGTGTTCACCGCGGTGACAGGTTTTCTTTCATTTGGTGGGGTTCCCCCTTTCTGAAAGGGCAACCCCCCCACAGATCTGGGTGTTTTTTCGTGTTTTGGCAGGACTCCTTTGGCCCGGTGCTTCTTGAGTGGCTTAAAAGGCCGAAACAAAAATCTAGACGTCGTTGGGACCAATGGGACAGGAGGGTCTTCCCCAAAAAGTGTAGAGTGTAAAGAAACTTGAACAGCAAGGCTACCTCAGCCTTTGCCCCCAAAGAAACGCAACAGGCTCAGACTCAATTATGACACATATCAAAAGATTTGTTTGACCCCTTGCCGTTCCAAGTGTATTGGTCGTTTCTCAGAAGCCCCTAGTGGATTTGGGCCACGCTGAGCGAGCCCTTTTTGGTTGGTAGATCAAACAAAATGTTCGTTGAACCTCCAGCTCCGAAAGGCTCGGTTTGAAAAGCGTTTCAGGTTGAAGGAGTGGGGTTTGGGTTTTATGGGTTTATGGGCTTAGGGTTTCGGTCTAGGTTTAGGTCTTGGGGCTGGGGCTCAAAGGGGTGCTGCTTTTCTCACTCTGGGCGGTTGGCCCCCCAAAAAATCGGGTTCACCGCGGCCTTTACGGGGGGTCTCAAGCCAATACCTCCAAACCGGGACCCTGAGATGTCCTTTGGAAGGGGCGCTTTTCTGGACAGGAGAGAGGCCCCCAGGTCTGAAGGACTGATCCACTGATCCTTGGCATATCCAGGGATACCCCCCCACCCTCTTAGGGGGTCCACAATATTAGGATCTCACCCCCTTCTTGGCAGGCGTCGATCAAGAAGTCCACCACATGGGATGACCATTGGTTGGACAACCACGAAAAAAGATTTTGATATATGTCAAGCACATGGGAGAAGCTTCCCCAGATCATCTTGGGCGGCCAGGAATGTTTTCATCAACCCCCTTTTTGAAACAACTCCAAGTGGTATCCCGCATGGGCCCCTTGAAAAGTGGTTGGTGGGGATAAATCCTCACCTAAATGATGTCCACCATTTCCAGTCCCTTACTAAAATTCATACCCACCTACTGTGGGTGGGCGAAATCCTGCACCACCCAAGAAACCCTAAACTGATGATTCCCCTGTAAATAAAAAACAACATTGGTTTCCCATGGATTCAAAGTGATGCAGGTTTTCGTCCATCCACGGTATGGATCAACCCCCACGTGACAACGATTTCCCCTTGGCTCGCCTCGAAATCGAAGGCCTGGCCCCGGGGGCTGGCACTGGCGCGGGCGGTGCCGGAGCCTAAGGAAATGGCAACATATGGGTGGCACGGCCGGTTCTTGAGCTCTCGGAGCCTCGTCTTGCTTGGTGGTTTTTGAAGGGAAATAGAAGGAAAAAACAATCAGTTTGGAGCACCTTTTTTTGTGTGGGTGTTAGAGAGAAGCCAAAGGAAGCCATTTTGGGGGGGTCCGATCCCTAAAGAAAGACACCCATATGGTTGCCAAACCAAGGAATGTTGATCTCGGAGTTGGGGGTGGGGCCCTCCAAAATTGATGAACCACCACAATTGGTGAACTCTTCATGATGCCTTTGAGGTTTTCATTGGGTTCGGAACCCCTCAAAAGTGGTTGGTGACGAAAGACATGTTCTGGGTGTGTCGTTTTTCCGGGCAGCCAACAAAAATGGTTAATTTCTTTCTGGTTTCCCTTCACAACCACTCCAACAGAGGTATCCTTAAACGAAATGACACGCCGCCCATTGCCATGGTCGCTTGCTACCCCTTTAGAAAGGTTACTAGAGCTGCTGATGACCCCTTTACTACTGTGGATGGTTTCGCGAAATCCATAAAAGCGCACTACCGAAATGAGAAACCATGGCTGAAACCAGCACGTCCGTTGGTATTTACGTTGGAGAGTAGAATCAGAAATCAGGGTTTCTTGGAAGGTGCGAAATGGATTTCGCAACCATCCATTGTAGGATGGTAGGCAATGAGAAGGTTCCTAAATGAACATGACCATGACCATGACCGAATGACTCGGAGTTCGGACTGTGGCCCAGATATGTTCTTCCGAGCTTCGGTTAAAATTACCAGTGGTCTGTGGTGCGTTTGGAAGGGAACATGGGACCAAATTCCTCCACAAGCACTAGGGGAAGAGCCCTCATTTACCCATGTCCTTTAGGGGAACAAAAACACATAAGAACTGAATAGTTACCAACATGATCCTAATTGTCATGACTTACCCTGATCAAAAAGACGAGCCACCTTATGAATCCTGAGTTGAGTCATAATCAAACCCGGCAAACAAATGGTCGTAATCCCAGAACCATGTCAAGAATTAAGAAGGCGGCAGCAGCTACAAACAGAATGAGGTTCTGGGCTAAAACCAAACGTTTTTTAATGGCACAGGGAAGCACAGAGGAAAACCAAAGCACCGATTCCAGGTTTTGATTGCGACTCATCTTAGTTTTGACCAGGACTGACATGATCTCGCCGAGTTCAGCGAGCCGTCTCCGAGGTCGTGCCTCAGAATGGCAGAGGCTGCAGGAGACTCCGCCGTCCGTCTGCCAGTTCTGGGTTGTGGGTGGTTCAAAATTTGCCTTAAGAATAGGTGGTATTTTTCTGGGTAAGATTTTTGTTTTCCCCCTGGCCATATGTGTTTTATGTTCCCCTGGACCTATGTTTATTTTTCCACCGTTTGCTTAAGCAAACGGAATGTCTTAGAGGTTTGGTTAAAAGGCTCGGCGCCCAACGAAAAAACTTCAAGAACCACAAGGTTTGGGTCCTTTTTCTATTGTGACCCATAGTGATGCATTTTTGGAAGACCACGGCGTAGGCCTCCTCTTTTCTTTGCGCCCTCTATTGTGGGACCCTTCCCCCAAAAGATCGGCAATCAGTGGAGCGCGGATGATTTGTATGTCGCAGTCAGGGGTGTTTTATCTCACTTCCTGAGTTCAACTTTAAACTTTTTGGGTTTGGACCATTTTAGTGGTAAATGTAAAGTTTGGACTTTTTGTTGGGCCATCCACTCAGCCAGTGGGTTATTGTTTTGTTCTTATGTGAATCGACGTCTCTTGAGACTTGGGCTGTGGCGAAAAAGGGTTGTTGAAAGCTTCTTGCCTGCAAGGCCACCTACTGTGGATGGACGAAATCCATTTCGCACCACCTGAGAGAGCCTGGAAAGATTCGATTCCCCGTGTAAATACTGTAGCAAACTATGGTTTCAACCATGGTTTCTTAGGTGGTGCGAAATGGATTTCGCGAAACCATCCACAGTATGCTGCTTCCCTGCAGACGAAAATATACAACACCATTCGGCTCAAGGCCTCTCCATGAAAAATACTCCCTAGTTGGGTTCTGTGTGTGTATGTTCTACTTTTGGCGTGGGTGCTGCGCAGTTCACGGTGTTTCGCAAAGCTGGCCGTTCCAGCGCTTCTGACCTTCCTGCTTTCCGTTTTCTCCAAGGCTCCGAGTCAATCGCCCAACATGGAACCTGACTAGGGTGTGCTGGAGGACTGTTGTCCTCTAGAGATGAAAAGAGACCAGACACCATGGATGTCCAACGTGGGAAAGAGTCAACTAGGTCCCCAGTAGTGCCCTTTGACCAACTTTTTTGCGGCAGGGTTCCCCTACTACAATAGACAGAAAAAAGTAGGTACCCTTATCCAACGTCTCTACTGGAGGACCTAGGTCAAGGTGATTTTCAGGTATGGGTTTTGGAGGTTGGCACTGCAAGGAAGGGGCACTTTCAACCGGCCTGACAAGGGGTTCCTTTGAAACCATGAACTGACCAGCGGCCTAGGTCTTTGTACGAGTTCTTCCCCGCAAACAAGCGTAGAACATCATGTGTTGCGGAATAGTTTATTTGCGCCAATGCGAGTCACGAGTCAAAATCATCCCTCGAGCCTGGTCAATCGTCAATCATAGGCATTTCCAAGGATGGGCGCTTCTCCTGATTTGGCGCTAGGAGGCAAACTGTACATGGCGGCGGACACCAGTCATTCGATTTGGAGTGCCCCTTGGCTCAAGTTCGCGAATCTTTGCCTTGGTGGGTTTGTGCAACCATCCATGTGGTTGTGTTAGCATGTTGCCTGTCGTTCAGTGGCTTGCAAGGGTCTGCCTTTCTTATTAGGACCCCCAAAATGGATTTCGGTTTTCCTGGTCCCCTTGCAAACCAATCAAAAAGGGGTAGCCTCAAAAGACAGACCGTTTCCACACCGAAGGGGTTGCTCCGAGCCACATGATCACACCGAATTTGAATCTGTGGTTTCCTTTGTTGACCAGGGTCCCAAGTAAAAGGGCTTACCCAAGACAAGCCTGAAGTATCTGGAGTTGGCTCCCTGACCATCATTGTTGTTTGTGAAATCAGCTTTCCCTTCTTTAGTTTGACCAATCTGCAACTGTTTGGAAGATGGTTAGTTCGACAATTCGCAAGAAATCAGAAATCCACGTAGGGGGCAAAAGGAAATCCAAGCCTTGTTTTGGAGACGCAACGGTGCGTTTTTCAAGTGCGGTTCCGGGCTCTACGGGCTTCAGCCCGCGGGAACCCTCAAAAAAAACATCCCCATATGGGTAGTTAGGGATGTACTTTTGTTTGGGATTGATGGGTGTGACTGGTAGTTATGGTTCGCCAACGCGTTGTTGGGTGTTTAATATGGGAAGTTTGTTTGCCAATGCCAGGGATTTAATTTTGGCAAATGTTCCAGAACGTTATACTTTTTGGTTTGGACCATTTTAGTTGTAAATAAACAGTTCCAGGACTCTTTTTTTGTCAATCCACTCGATCGGAAGGTGAGTGTCCCACCGCCAATTCTAGAGGGACCGCCCAAAAACACAAGTCCTCTTAGCTTCCATTTGCTTACGAATACTTGTTATTTTCCCCTGTGGGTTTTAAAAGGAAATATCATTTCCTGGAAAAAAATCCCCTGGAAATATCGATCGCTACTGGAAATATGTTTATTTTTTCCAGGCGAAAACGCAAATGCGAGCTTAGGGAAACCTTCGCGGAGCGTCCTTCGGGTGAGGTCGGGAGCCTTTTGCAGCCCCTCACTTTTGAGGCGCGATGTTGGGCGAGAAGGGGTCCTCTAGAGGTTGAGCCCCCCATTGTTGTTCCACCCCCCCCCAACAAAAACAAAGAAAACGAGAGAAGAAAAAAAACAGCAAAAAAGCGAAAGACCACCCGATTTTTTGTCTTTTCTGGGAAGGAGGGTTTGTTTGTGCCCCATCGTTCTTTTGGAGAAATTACCTAAAGCTTTTAAACTCCCCGGGTGTCTGTTTCTAGCCGTGACAAAAGTTGTTCGCGTGTTGCAGGGCAGGTGCCCAGAAAGGCAAAGGCTGTTTGACCAGGACCAGCGTTTTGCTCGCGATGGGTGCGAAAAATCGGGGAAGGTGAAATGGAACGAACCCCGGGACTGGTCCGCTGAAAGGAAACCACCAGTTGGGATAGTAGATGATGACCTGGGGGTCCCCTGAAAGGAATAGTAGGGAGTGAGAAATGGAATGAACCTGGGTATTCCCAAAAAAAGGACACCACCAGACTCCATTTCTCATTCCCTGCATCTCTCGCAGCGATCGCAAGTTTGGGGGCACTCATGTTTGCTGCTTGAAGCTTGATGAGTGGAGCGAGGATACCTTCAGCCTTGGTTCCGAATCTGGTTGCTCTTCATTGGCTTGGACCTGTGGCTTGAAGGCTTGAACCCCGGGTTCGCCTGGAGGGTAGATGGGAAAATCGCCCCTGAAAGCCACCAGAGCACCAGTCCAAACCACCCAACCGCGAGGGAGGCTGAATGCGTCACAGCCTCAAGTGGTATAGATCTTAGCCTTAGATCTCGTCGAACTCATTGGGGCAGGGGCTCAACGGGCTTGAAAACGCTTTGGAGAGTCTTAACCAATACGGATATGTGCCCCCCTTTAATCTCACTTGCCCAAAGCGAATTGACCTTCTGACGTTTTGGTCTCTGATTTGGTCCATGTTGAGTTAGGGTTCCAAAAGGTGCACCTTTTGGTGTGTTTTACGTTTGACAACTCAGTAATTTTGTACCATGGTGTTGGCAGTTTAAATACCTGGTGCACTAACATGGTACCTGACGTTTCGAGGTGCTGGAAGACTATTTTCCTAAAAGGGACCCTGTTTCAGTGAGCATGCTGTTCAAGGTGACACACGTGCCAACGGGCATCACAGAGAGAGCATTTGCGAGCTCGGTCAAGAGCTCAATTGGCCCATCAAGCCGATCAAGCGACTCGAACATCGAGTGTGGCTTGTGGGGGCGGCAGCTCCGCCTGATACATTCTGTGTGCAGATCGGAGATGCGTCGGTGCTGATCACAAAAGTTCAACCGCGGAAAGTGAACCAAGCACCAGTTCTCATTGCTGGTAAGGCGCCAGATAAGTCAAACCGTTTGCAGCAACGCCTGCAGCCTGTTACTTTCGGGAGATCTCCACAGCTGCCCTCTGTCCTCCCTTCGCTTCTTTCCCTCTCCGCACTTCTTTCCGCATGTGAGGCATAGTCAGAATCAGGCATTTACCTTCCTGTCCACTAACATGAACCCATCAGAGGGTCGCCCGTTGAATCGCATTTTTGGGTCGCGTTTTCCCGAACCCAAAAAGATGGATTCCCTTGAAGGAAACCTGACAAAATCCATCCCGTGTGGTTTGCTTTAAGGGGGCCCCTAGGTTCATTAGCAAACGCCGGGTTTGAGGGCCCAGTGCCATTTCTTCCTACAAAACCAGCCAAATACATCTAAAAACCTAAGTTGAACCGGACGATTCGCTGGTTGAACCACTAAGAAAGAAAACACACCAGCGAGAACAGTTCTCACATTCTAGGAAACGGTTTGGATGTTCGGTTTTTGTGGATCCACCCCCTTTCTGGGATATCAAAAGACCACAAGAGCTAGCAGTCTCCAGCTCGTGCGCGAAGGGCGAGTTTTTTCAAGGGTGATGAGCACCTCTTCAAAGCAGCAGGCCGACCAAGCAGGCCAAGGACAGGCCCTGCACAAACGAACAGCCAGAGATCGCTTCGGCGCATATTCGTCAGACACCCGATGAATTCGGGAAAGACCGTCTCTTTGGTCGAATAAAACACAGCGGGGTCTCCAACGATAAGAGGACCCCTGCGGGAAGAACAGGTGAAATCCGCAATCAAAATCCAATCCTGGGCTGCCCTCAGATCCCCCGCTAAGAGTTTAAGTTTAACTTTGAGTGGGTTAAATGGAAACTGCCACTAAACACGAAAGAGCTAAAAGGCTACGGGGATTTCTGGAAGCCAGCAAGAAACCGTTTTCTAGACCGAAAGAAAAGTTAAAAGAAGCCTTGGCTTCGCGCTAGGCGGCCGAAGCGTCGGGGCGCCCCAAGCGAATCGCTTTTGAAGCGAATCGGTGGGCGTCTCGCAGATTTGGGGAAGAAGCTGGGGCTGTGGACCCTGGAGCGCCAATGTTGCTTCACTGTTCTTGGCATGTTTGTTTTTTTAGTTTTTTGGTTCTGTTCATTTTTACTGGGGGTCTGCAAAAAACAAAGTTTTCGCTACCATACCAAGAGTAGAGATGATTGTTTGCTGCATTTACTAGAGGTTCCCTTGTTCCAAAAAGTGGGCAGGACTTTTTATACAGGGACCGTTTGTTCCCTGGTTCCAAAAAGTGGGTATGTTTTTTAGGGACTTGTTGGTGGACATCAGTTAGGTGGGGACTCATGTCCGCCAACCACTTGGGCGGTTCCAACTCTTGAAAGTCATTGGCAGAGCGTGTTCCCAGGCCAAGCACATGATCCCTTCTAAATTGGGACCAACGAATTCAAGGGGGGCTTCTTGCCTTTTTTGTTCCTTCCCACTTTGAGGTTTGGTCAAAACGGTCCATTTGGGAAATCAAAGTAAGTTTCAGCATGTGGGTGTGTCTTTTTGTTAGGCCCCCCCCAAAAAAAAACAGGACAACAGTTGTCCTGTTGGTTTCCCTTAAAACCACAGAAAAAAGGGTAGCCTCAACACACACACAAACACATGTCCTGGGGAGACCTTGCCAATCTTGACCACGTCAAACCAGGGGCCCCTTGGGGCTGACCAAGGTCGGCTGTGGCATCTCTATGCCCACAAATGGAGGCTTGGAAGGTTGAGCTTTTTCGTGCGTATGCAAGAGTGTGTCCTTGAAGTAGGAGGGCCCCCTAACATTGCCAGACTTACGGTGGATGCCCGAAATATTGCAAATCAAGGAATTTATGGGGGTTGTTTGTTCCCTACTAGTAATATTAGATTTAGGATAATTATTTGCCATAGCTTTTTGTTTGCCTTTTATTGCATTTTACATGCCAACTAGCAGAAAGGTGCAATTTCTCCAGGGGGTCGGATCAGTCTGGTCCAGCAGAGTGAGGGTTGTTTCGCTTCAAAACAGTCCAATCAGAGAGGCCTCAAAAGAAAAGACAAACCCCAGCGTTCGCGGGCAGGGCGGTTGGTTTTATTTTATGGCCAGACCTCCAGTGCTTTTTTATAGACTGGGTCTGCTTTTTCGGATTTCGACCCCCCAAATGGCAATTCGGCTTTCCTGTTGGTTTCCCTTTAAAACAAAGCACCCTCGAAAACGACACACCCACATGGGGAAATTCGTGTTTTCTTGGAATTTTAGAGAGTTCATGGCCCTCCCAAATGAACCAAAGACCAAACAGGATATTTTCTGGGCCGTCCTCAAATCCCGTGCTAAAGGCTTAACTTTTAGTTGGTTAAATGGAAACCCAACCACTGAACCAACTAACGGGACGGCTGGGAACCAACAAGTTGTTTAACGAACCTCAGATTGGCAACGGGGACACGCAAAGGCCGTCAGGCATTCCATTGGCATACAATGGGCAAACCCATTGTTTGCAAGCTCGCAAATGTGATCTAGCCTGTACTTTCATTTGCTTTTTCGCCCAACCTGCAAACCACCAAGTAAACCTGACTGTCCACCGTGTTTCTTCCTCGTGCTGTTCAGGCTGCTTGCCTATGTTGGCAAGCGGGGCCGATGTTAGTTGTCACGGTCAGGCGATTTATGGTCAACCATTGTGTTCTCAAAGTCGACGCCGCGCATGTGGTGTGTCTTGTTTTGGTGGTACCCCTTCTTGGATATGTTTTTCAGGCAAACCAAACGGAAACCATTGGGAAACTCGGACTTTTGGGTTCATACCTTCGACCTGTCGATTTCCGGGTGGGAACACATGATACCATGTTTTGTTGGCTGATTTTGGCGAGAAACCAGGCCCAACACAAACAATACCGGGTTACCATATGTTCCCTCAATCGCCACAAAAAGGGTAGCCTCGAAAAAGACAGAGCCATGTCCTTCTACGGGAAACCCTTGCCTCATGTGTGGCTAGGTGCCTGTGCCTTGCATGCTGGCGTCGTGCTCAGCTCCGTTCAGCTTGCTGTGAGAGGTGTGAAAAGGATGGACATAGACATATAGAACTGGAGGCAGAAGTACAAATTGCAGCAAAACACATTGCAGACACAGAAATGGTCGACCGGCAAGGATGTGTGTGTGCGCAAAGGATTTGGGACCCACAAAATCGCCCCCGAACCCGCCCAACAGCCCAGCATGAAGGCGACTAAAGCAGCCCAATGCTGAAGCCCGAGGTTTTTCTCAACTGCCGGGGCCCCCACCCCCGTTCGAAATGAAATTGGGGGGGGGTGACCTTTGGATTTTGTTTGTTATTATTTTTTGTTTTAGCCACCCTTTGGTGGGGAAGACTCGACGAAGGGAATTGGGTCCCGGACCCCCCACGCCCCAAAGCTGTGTTTGCATCCAAATGATGCGATCGATACCTTTGCCTGGCTGCTTGGCCTTCATGTAAATAGGCTTACAAAACTGCAAAGCAGGCCTACTTTGTAGGAAGCAAGGCTTCACATGAGCATTCTATCATATATCAGTTTTTGGCTGGTGGTGTTCCGCCTGCCACGGTTTGGCGCCAACTTTGATCAGTTAACCCCCCCCTGTTCGGTTTGGATTGGGGGCTTTCAAGCCCCAAGTTCAACCCCTCCTCAACCTCCGAACCCGGGCTGAAAAACGGAAAAAATCGAGGGAAGCTGATCAGGGCGCCTTAGAAGAAGTTCATTCCGCAAGCATTTGAGTTGCATGGCTGCCTTTCTCAACACCAAAATAAAGTTGGAGTTGCCACCATTTACAAGTTGCAATGTTCAGGTGTATAATGTAAGGATCCCTGTTGCGGGGTGCCCCCCCCCTTTAACCCGGACTCTGGATCACTTGGGCCGAGGCCAACGCCAGATTGGGCGACGCGCTCAAGGCGCGCCGTTCCGGAGTCCGGAAATGGCAGGAAGTCGGTGCGCTTTGCCAACTAATCTCTTCCCCCTATTAATAAATACGCCCCCCCCCTATTATTAATAAATCCCTCCAAAAATATGCTTTTTTTTTAAAAAACATAAATAAAAATATGGGGTTTTTGGGGTTGGGTTTTTGTTTGCCTTTCCAACAATGTGAGGGTTCACATAGGATTTGGAGGAAATGGATTGAATTGTAAGGTCCGCGAGTAAGCGGTTTAATAAGGAAATTTGATGTATCATTCTATTTGTTTTTCAGTTTAGTGGTTGTTTGTTTGCAGCCAGGCAGCTTAATTAGCCAGCATGTACGGAAGAGAGACAGTCGCAGCTAGACACTACCGCGGGGAAGCCAGCTTTTGGGGAAGCAACCTTTTAAGGAATTCATCCTTTGAGGAACCAACCTTTTTAAAAGTGGGGCTGGAAGCTTGTTAAAAGTGCCCCCTAATAAGGATTCCAAGACTTTAGTATTGGTTTAGTATTGACGCAATGGAAAATCAATTGTGCGGAGTGGAAATCTGGTCCCGGGCCCCGGATTTCCATTTTTTATTAATGGGGGTCATTCATTAATAGGGGGAGCGGATTAACCAGGGCAATTGTCCCAAAAAACTTGCGTGCCAACTAGCTTGTGTTGTCTATGTTTCACCTGCACCAGGACCACTTTCCACAGAAAACAAACAACCAACCACCAACCCAAAAAACGAAACACACAAAACAACCAGCCAACCGTAGAAAGCTTCAAAACAACGTATGGGCTTCTCCAAACATGGGACAACACTTGCGGCTTTCTTCCCCCTGAAAACACAGCTTGGTTTACACACATGAAAGAGTTTGCTAAATAATGGCTGAAGTTATCTGAGGGATGGAACCAGGGGTCTTCTTTTGGAAAAAATACATGACCCAGTGAATGTTTGTAAAACCCATGCATGTCTAGCCAAACTGACCTAAAAACCTATGACTGGAACAAAAGGGAGGGGAACAAATAACACAACCAACAACAACAACAACAAAATAAAACAGGCGCATGAAACGCAGGTGCCCAACTGACTGACCGAATCTCAAACAAGGTGCTGGTGATCACTTCACTTTGTGCATTGTCGGCCTTTTTTTGGGGGGAGCAAAAGGAATGTTGGAAAGGACACCTCACTCCCAAAATTCCTGGATATGGAAAGATCAAGAAAGACAAATTCAGACTTGGGCCAATCCACCTGGGAAGTGAGTCTTGAACAAACACCCACTTTCACTGGTAGCGGCGTCCTTTTCATAGGATCCAGCCCCAATCACAATCGGCTAGGTCAACTGAGTCCAGGCCGCTTAAAGGATACATTAACCGGTCCAGGCCGCTTAAAGGATATATATATATAGATTTGAGCCCAGTTTATTCATAGGGGGTCCCTGAGTTTAGTGGTGAAGCATCACATTTGGAGGGGAATACCCGCTATTGATAAACTGGGGTTGATTAAGATGGGGGTCAACATTAGGATCAACAAAAGAAGCCTGGAATTGGTAGGTGAGTCTTTGCTATGAACAACTCCAGGGCGGGGGGGGGGGGGGACTTTTTGGAGGGCACCCTTGTTGGGGTTGGTTTAAAGTGAAACCAAGGCCAAGTCATAACTTTGGGGGGTCCGCTAATACGAGACACACCCATGTCATGCAGTGGGCTCCTTGTAAAGCAGCTTGTCTTTGGATGTATCCGAAGTATCCTTTGCCAAGGAACCCTCGGATCTTTTTTATTTAATGTCATTATTATTTGTGTAATGGTTGAGTCTTTAGGAGGGTTTTAGGGGGGGGCGTTGTCGGGTTCACAGGGAGTTGTTCATAGCAAAGACTCACTTCCCAATTCCAGGCTTCTTTTCTTGATCATCCAAGAGGTCACCTTACCCCCTAATGTTGACCAACCCCAGTTTATCAATAGCGGGTGTTCCCCTCCAAATGTGATGCTTCCCCACTAAACCCAGGGACCCCCTATGAATAAACTGGGGTTGATTAGCACCTATTTGGTTTGGAGGTTTGGTGGTTTGGAGGTTCGGGACCCGCTGCCTTCCCCATTTAAGTTTCAAAGGGAACAGGGGCTTCAACTGCAAGCCGCGAATCGCAACCCCGAATCAATTACGTAAGCCTTCGTTGGTGGTTTGGATTGGTGGTTTGGGGAAAAACGAACCCCTGGCTTTTTGTAGAGGGTGAATGGGAAACTCCTCCCTACCCACCAACCCACCAATCAAAACCACCAACTAGAGGGAAACTGAAGTCAAGTTTAATTGGTTGGGCCCGAACTGGTGGACATCCAGCCAACCTCAAGAGGTTGCAACTTGTTTGTCATGGCCTTGGGCCAAGAGTTGATGAAGAGAGGCAGTGCCGGAGTGCACATCCAAGATGCAAAATGGTCGGCTTATATGGTATAAGTACAACTGAAGGAGGCATCAGAGAAAGCAACCTGCATTCCAGAATGAAAGGGATGGCAAAAGCTTTTGGGTGGGACATCAGAGTTAAACAATTCGGAGCAAGTTGGGATTTGTCACATCAACTTTGCATGAAGCATGCGATGAACCGATTACAGTATATAAGTTGGTAGTGGTAGAGCCGCAAGGGCGGTAAAGACTTCGTATCACGTGGAGTCCCTCGTGGACCCTCGCGCCGCTAAAGGGTCCCGTGGAAAAGCAGTCACACACCTTCCACACACCTTCTTGGGAAGGTTTTGTTGGTAATGCTGACCTCGGATCAATCAACCTAGCTGCAAAACATGGTAGGGATTTGCGACCCACGAGCGAAGCATGTTCTCTTGAATGGGACGCCAATGGAATGTGACGCGTTGGCCCTGTGTGCCTGATGAATCCCTGCTTGACGCGGTGATCAACGCCCCGCCCTTCACTGTGACTGCGCCTGCTGCGCCGCCTTCCACGCCTGCCGCATCGTCTGAGCCGCCGACTGACGATTGGGAACCAATTGAGGAGTGGTGAGTTGTTAAGCTCGCGTTTGCTCCTGTTGCGGCAGCTAGCTCAAACGAGCCAGCCACGGAATAGCCCCAATCGGGCGTCAAATAAACAGTCAGCAGCTCTCGCGTTGTGGGCAAGAAGTCTACACTTCACTAGTGTTGCTTGCAATCATTTGATGAGAATTGAGCTGCTTGGCTTTGGAATTGTTTCCAGGTAAAACCGCTCTTGGAATCTCGTGACAAAACCTGACCTTTATTCGCCTGCAATCGGCTGTATTCGTCTATCCCCAGCCCCTTATAAATGGAATTGGGGGAGGGGGGTGATCCCTGAAATTCCATGTATGGTGTTATTTTCCCTTTTGTGCGGAAGACTGGATAAATTGAATTAAATTGGGGGACCCCCAACCCCTCCCCCAAAAGGTAGGGGGGATGTCCACAGTAAACAGAAAGTTTACATGTGTTTTGTGTCAGTTTCTGAAGTCCTTAAGCGGGGGTGGTTGGGCCCCTTTCGGGTTCTTTTATGGGTTTCTCAGGGTTCTTTTAAGGGCTTAGGGCTCCTTAGCGTTTCCTAGAGTGTCCTACAGTTCCCTAAAATGGCTTTGGGTTTCCTACCTAGATAGCCAAGTTGTCGCTGTTGCTGGTTTTTCGGGTAAAGTAGATGGAAAAAGCGATCACAACTAGCGATCCAGGAGGTTTACTGATCCGGGGTCAAGATTATACTTGCTGTTGGATGGGGACCCTCTTCAAACTCAGCCAAGATTGATGGATTTGATTCCTTTGGATTTTGGGGGGAGTTTTTTAGGGGCTGCTTCGTTCGGCCAGGCCGCCCTCGCCGCGCAAATGCCGAACCTGGGGCCCCAGCACCGCGCTTGAATTGGGTGGGTGGTTCGGCAGGGCGGGGTTCATTTTTTTGGTGCAACCTGGCGGTTTGTGGTTGGTTGGTTGCTTGCTTGGTTTGTTGGTTTGTTGGTTTGTTGGTTTGTTGGTTTGTTGGTTTGTTGGTTTGTTGGTTTGTTTGTTGGTTGGTTGGTTGGTTGGTTGGTTGGTTGTTGCTTGCTTGCTTGCTTGCTTGCTTGCTTGCTTGCTTGCTTGCTTGCTTGGTTAGTTGCTTGTTTGGTTGCTTGGTTGGTTGTTTTCGGCTTGCTTCAAAGTCGTTTTGAGGGTCCCGCAATTTTGCTCCTGGGCCATTTGTAGGAAAAGGGCAGGTGTCCACCCGATTTACATTTGCACCAGGGCTGGGCAAGTCAACCCCTGTTTCAAGAGATTGACACTTGGTTCAAACATGCTATGGAATCCATTTCGCACCACTTTGAAACCATGCTTGAAACCCTCGTTTGTTGGTAGTCACAGGGGAATCGAATCATAAACCAGGGTTTCTTACATCGGTGGTGCGTTGTTTCGTCCATCCAGAGCGCACCGCAGTGCCTTGACCTAATTAGGCCTGCGCTATATGACTATATGGCATTATGAAGCGCGTCGACGGATTTGCTGGGCCCGAAATGATGGAGGCTCGTGCTCGCATGTTATCATCTTGACGGTAGGACGCAGGAGAGGAGTGTGGACGCCGCATCTGCACGCGGCTATGCAGATATCAGAGCCTACGCGGCCAAGCTGCGCGACATCCTGAAGGGCGCGGTGAATTCCGTGAAAGAAAGAGTGTGAAGGTGGCTCGCAGCAAAGCACGGAGTGACGCTGGGGAGGGTGTCTCAAGATAGGAATCGGACCTGCTGACCTGCACATCCGGTGGCTTTCCTTGCGTTTCTCACAAAACCAATCCCAAAAAGGCTGCCAGCAGGAAAAGCACGCACCCACATTCTGCCCAACTGATTTGCAGCTCCTTTCAACATTCGGGTGCGGGGGATACACATGGCCCGATAAAGTAGTGCAGCAAGCCTCTTTCGGGCGCCTTCGTTTTTTTCCTGGAAGTTTTTCAGCATTCCCTTCCCTGCGCTGATGACAAGAGAAGTCTATTGATTGGCGAAATTCATTTCGCACCATTTGTTGAATCCATTTGTTCGTTCCTGGGTGGTCAACTTTTGGAAGACTGAGGGTACCCTTTTCAGCTTGTTCGTTCAAGAAAGCCCAAAGGAAACACGGCATCTTGAGTGTCCCTACCGTGGAAGGACAATATCAATTTCGCACCACTTTGAAATTATGGTTGAAACCATTGTTGGCGGGTATTTACAAGGGAATCAGTAGTCCAGGGTTCCTTACATGGAGCAGGACTTCGTCCACCCACAGTTGTTTGCCACACACCCAATGGTCGTCCGTGTCCTTTGGCCCATTTGCGCTGAGGCCCCTGCGCTCGCTCGCAGCGGCGCAGATGCCGTGCCGGAGAGTGGGCGCTCTAGGCTGGGCGCGAAAGGTCTCGCCGGGCTACGAAGGTAAGCTGTGGCTCATGAACATGAGTTCCGTTTCGGATTTTAGTCACTTTTTGGGTTTGGACCGTTCTGGGTGAATTATGACGACCTCACACGACCTCACCCCAAATGGAGGTTTATGTGAGGAATATCCCCTTAACCGCCTTATTTCAGGTTGGTGAAATATGAAAATTCACCCAGACCATTTGAGTGGTAAGTATAATTCCAGGACGTTGTTTTGGCCAATCCACTCAGGAAGTGAGGTGCCAGGGGTTCCTCCGTTTCCTTTTTGAAACCAACAGTGGCAATTGTTTCAATGGAGGCCACCAGCAAACTAATAAACTGTTGATTGGGAAATCCAGTGACTCCTGTGTGGTTCTGTCGTTTTTGGGGGGTATCCTGTTTGAGTTTGTTCTTGGGAAATCAAAACGGAACGCAAAAAGCGAGACATTGCGTGCCCTCATGAGACAAACCAGGGTCCTGGTGTTGGATTCCGTGGGGCACGGACTACACTTGCGGCGCTTGTAATGCCTGACCCAAGTTTTCAGCAGAACCGGTGGTTCAAAAGTTGGGGGGGGGGCCCTTGAAGTGGTTCAGAGCACTTTTGGAGGGACAACCACGCCTAGTAGTAGCATGGGTTGATTACTCCGAGGTCAACACGTGAGCGCGCAGTCTTGCATTGCTTTTGAGCGCTGCGATACGAGTTTTGTGTTGGAGAAGAAGTGGATGGGTTCTTTCTGAAGACTAAGATGTATTTTGCCTCCGGCTCACCTGCGCCCACTGTGATTGCCGGCCTTCTCAATGACTCCATGTCCTCACCAACCAAAGCGAATCGACCGGATCTGGCCTTTTGATTTATTTTTGGCACCACAAGGCGAGGCTTTTGTTTCCAGGTCCTTCAAGTGAGCTCTGGGGAGAACCAGCCCATTCCCAAAGCTTCTCACTGTAGAGTGTCTCACGGGCGGGCCACGGAAATGGCCAGGCTTTCCTTCAAATACCAACCGAAAGTCGTGTGGTCCAATTTGGATCAGTGTCAAAAAGCATGGGGTGCCCCCCCCCTCATGTTTACGTGCTTTCTTAAAACCAACGGCTAAGAGTTAAAGGGTACCTCACTCCCAGAGTTCCTGGGACTTGATACTCTTTGGGAAACCCATATTTTAGTGGCGACAAAACATGCGACAGTGAGGTACCCTCAACTAAAACACTTCCAGCCATTTGGGCATGTTTTTGAGGCTATCTTTCTTTGGCACCCATTTTGAGAAGCATACGAGTTCCTTTCGAGGAATCCAACTTCGATCGCAGGCGCTTCACTCGCCGGTGAGTGCATGCTGCCGGGTTCTCAAGCGCCCGGACGGACGGCGTAAGTTGGGTGGCTTCCCTCGTCCCAAAAAGGGCAGCCTCAAAACGACACGCCCACATGTCCCCTTGGGCCATTTTTGTAGCATCGCCTAGTGAAGTGCCAATGTAAAACTGAGCTAAAGCAGGTCCGACGACTGCCGGTGCAACTCGTGGCGTGAGAAATGGAGCTGAGCGACCAAAACGAGCATCAGCCCATGACATAGCCTAGCTGTGACTTCCGCGGTTTTCTGTTGAAAGGGCAACCAAAAGGAAAACCATGTGTTTTCCTCCTTTTTCTGGGGGGGGGGGGGTGCGACAGATAAAATGGCAACGTGTCAAAAGGGAGGACCCCAAGAATGGCGTTTCCTTCTAAACCAAACCGAAAAGGGTGTAGCTTTTGCTTTGAAAAACACAGTCATCATCCTTTCTTTACTTCTTGTCTAGAAATCAACAGGTAGACACCACTTGCAATGCAACGGATGCTACGATGATAGTTATCCAGGCACATCCCTTGGTAATGATGACGATGATGATGATGACCATGAGGAAGACGTTATCCTTTCTTTACTTCTTATATAGAAATCAAAAGGGACGTTAGACACCACTGTTGGACATGCAACGGGTGCTACGATGATACTTTTCATCATCTTTCTCATAGTCATGACACTTGTCATCGTCCATAGATTCAATTTTTAAAAGCAGGCAAGGACGGGTGAGCCACATCTCACTTGCCTTTTAACATGAAACTCGCACGATTGTTTTTCATGCATGGTTGACTTCGGCAATGTGACAAGTGGCGCAAAAGGCTGGGGAGCAATGCACGAGCAAAAGCCCAAGAGGACCAAAGGTCCAAAAGCACCCTGCGAATCAAACCAGCGGGCCCCAAACGTGCCGAGCGAGGCTGGCCGGCTGGGACGGAGTGCAGCTGTTGGTGGCCGCGCCTTGGAGCAGAAGGAGTTGCTGGCTTTTGGGGCGTTCCCACGGGAAGGAAACATTGTACCACCAAACATGGACACTGACGTTCGGGGGCCCCAGTGCCCTCTTGCTCTTTTTTGGGGGAGGGCTCCCCTACTAAAACAGACTACACCTCTCCACTGGAGGATTAAAAGAAAAATGGTCTTCCGGGACCCTTCCATGTGAATTGGTGGGCGGGTACGTAGTCTTTTTCCGCAACCCCCGAGAAAGCCCTGATGCTCATAGGCATCCAGAGGGAGCCACAACCTAAGGAAAGCCCTTGAGATGATAGGTCTCCTTTTGGAAAGACAGATCCTGGTAGATTGGGCAGAAAACCCATCCAAACCATGTCATACCAGGGAACCTCCGCGTTTTCTGTAGAGGAGAGTTTGTCATTCAAGGAAGTTCTTGTTCCCACAACCCTGGAACAAGCAACTGAGATGGTTTGGCAGTTAGCCTTCTCCGACCAACATAGCGTTTTTGTTTTTCCTCCATTTGTTTGCACAGCATTACTCCATGGGTGTCCCTTCGGTCGATTAGTTTGGATAGAAATAGATGGATTCCACTGGTTTGGATGGGTTTTATGGGAAACCCATTTGTGTTTCCCAAAAGCAATATGATCTAAAGGATGGGGACCGATTCCTATTTGGGTCTGTCTTGCTGTTTAGGTTGGACCCCTCCAAAGTTAATGTGTTTTAAGGGTTTTCCTTAGGTTGTGGCTCGTTCTGCATGCCTATGAGCATTAGCGCTTGCTAGGGGGTTGCATCAAGGCTACGTAAGTGGATGGCAGCCATGGCTACAGTTTGCACCGAGCTTAATGCCCTACAGATTTGCATAAGCAACCCCAATAACCCACCCATACAGGAAACTTTGTTTGGGAATCAGACCCAGGATTTCTTGGTTTCCGTTAATGTTGATTCGGGGAGCAAATCAGGGTTTCCGATCCATTCCTCTTTCTGGTTTTCTCCAAAAGAGGCGATCGGTTCAACGGAAACCAGTAAGGAGTCGATCGACTTTAGGGCAAATCCAAGAACCCCTGAGCTCGATAGTCGCAAGATGTCGTTGGCTTTTGGAATCCGAACACCTGCTCGCGTCCTGAGTTCCTGTACAGTATACTTTTGGGAAGACCAGTTGAGTGGTAAATAAACAGTTTGATTTTTCCCCTTTGGTGGGTTTTGACACACAAGAAGGTTTGACGGAATGAAGCGTTAAGACCCAAAGGCTTGGTTTGCTTGCTTCACTGACGGGTTGGTGTCAACCACCCATGTTTAAAGAGTCAACATAGTCAACGAAAGCATCAGAGAAAAGAAAAAGCGACAGTTCAGTTTCAGGTGTACTGAGCCATGAACACACACACACACAGCGCATATTTCAAGAGTCAACGGACGCATCAAACAAAAAGCGACACTCCAGGGTATCCTTTTCCAGGCGCTGCCTCTAGAACCAGGCAGGGCCTCACCCGTGCCCCGCGATATGACGCGCAGCTGGCGTTTGGAACCTGGACATGTTCCCTTTTGTTCAGTTTTTAGAGCACTGCCTGAGCTTCTTGTGGAACTCGGACTGTTCATCATTTTTGGGGTCGGTTGCCATTTTTTGTTGGCTGACATAAGTGGTTTTTGGAAATCCTGTGCCGATTGGATCTTCGGAGCAACCTTGACAGTTGGGGTGGTTGCGGGTGAACCGATCCATGAGATGGGCAAGTTGATCTTTTCAAGAGGATGGTAGTCTTCCAACAGCCTTTTGTCAGCTTTCATGCTTGGGATTAAGGAGTCCCAAAGGAAAGGGGGTGGCTTTAGGGAACCCCCTAAGGTACCGGGGAACGAAAAGGGCTCTCAACTACCCACCCCACTTTGCAGTGCACCTGCCCCCGGATAGGATTCCAGAATTGGGAGCTTCCATACTTGCTTAAGAATATGCTTTATTTTCCGCTGTTGGTTTTAAAGGGAATCAATCACTACCGGAATTATCTGTTTATAATATTTTTCCCGGGGTCTTCACCAAATGGAAGGGAGGGAACAGCATTGAGGGAAGGCGGAACGGTTTCTCCCAGACCCACGGTCCCCAGGAAACCATTCGTAGCCTGGGTTCCGGAGGCTTAGAATTTTCTGGCCAGGTCGGAACCGCCGGGAGGGCCCAATGATACTCCTCACTCCCTGAGTTTCTGGGCTTGAACTAGAAGAGCCAAGGAGCTGGTGGTCTCTAAGTTTGCTTCATAGGGAGCTTAAAGAGAAACCTGGAGGTCTGTAAGGACATGCGGGTCAACACCAATGGTGCCATTTTCGGGGTTTTTCGGTGCACGCCGCAAAGGCACAAACACTAAGATAAAGGGGGTCAAGCCGCAAGGGGGGTCCCCTGTATCCATAAATTAAGAGAAGCCGAGATAGCTAAGTTGCTGCTTGGTTCAGTCACTGTTGCTGGTTTTCGGGGTAAGGTGGATGGAAAAAAGGATCGATCCAGGAGAAGCAAACGCAAAAACCCCATTTTTATGGGGGTCAATCCGCCAGGAAACCCGGTCCCGTGCATCCATCAATCAAGAGGAGGCTGGTTGACCCCCTAGAGAATGAAACCAACCCCTAGAAGATGGTTATCCACCGCAAGGGATGAACAGAATGCATTAAGAGAAGGATGGTCTCAGTTGTTCAGTGGCACCCTTTTTCCCTTTTTTGTGGCCGCCCCACTGAAAATGGTCTTCCCAAAAAGGGTTCTCTGTTTTTCCAGGGTGATTGAACGACTGAGTGGTTGAAAAGAATGCAGAAAGGAGCCACCCCCTGGAACCCGCCGGCTGGCGCCCAACCGGGAGTCGCAGGCGCCGCCCCGCTGCCTTTGTTCGACGTCTTGGCGCACCGGATCCCTCCGAAGCGGAAGGCGGGAACGAAACGGACGATTGGGTTGCGGAGGAAGGGGTGGGGGTCCTGATGTTAATCGTTTTATGTGTTTCCCACTGGCCCCCGGTAGATTTGCGTGGTGGTTTTGTTCTCAGGATATCTATTGTATATGACTTTACAGTGATTCTCTAGATGATTAGATATCCCTTTGTGTTGTCAATTCTATCTGTGACTTCCTGTTGGTGGGATGATACGTAAAGGGGAAATGGGACCCCAAACCAGCCCTAAACCATGTGTGCTTCATCCGCAAAAACTTGCCGTCAGCCTTCACCCACTACACCGCCTAAGATAGCTCTTTGGCCTCCCGTCACTTCTGAGGAGAACTTTTGTTCAGCATCCCTCATGAGTCATCATCTTTCATCTGCGTTTCAGACGATGTGTTGATGTTCCCCTGTTGGTTTTAAAGGAAATCTAATACTCTTGGACATATATGGTTATTGCTGTTTTTCAGGGGGCTTTAGCAAATGGACATATGGTGTAAAGTGAGTCTGCAAATTTACAATATGTCCACAACCTGAACTAAGAATTGGATCCCCGAGTAAAGGACCTTTCTCATGGTGTGAGTGAAGTGAATGTGGAGGAAAGGAGGGAGGTTTGCATCTCCGCACTTCAAGCAGGTCAAATGTGTTTATGCGCAGCAAGGCTCCCCTCCAGGCACTTGGCTGCTTGCAAAGGGCCTGGTCAATGAGCTGTCTCGGCGTGTCCTCCCTCCTTGCGCCATTTATGCTGAACCCAAGCCTAAACAAGTTTGATCAGTCGGAAAAACAACCCACACATCCCAAACCAACATGAATCAACCCTGCATTCCAAATGGGAAGAAATGTTAAGTGCAGATGATCATCCAGAGGACCGTCCGTACAAATCAGGGGCGGCTCCCTTGTTTGAGAGAGTGAATTCGATTTGGGTTGGTTCCTCGGATTATATAGTCGGTTTTCCGGATTCATCGGCAATGGACAATACCAGCTTCCCTGGAGCTCTAAAAAAGGGCGGTTGGGATTGAGAGGTTAGGGGTGGACACCCCATCTCAAGGCATCAGCTTCTTGGTGCCCATTCGTTTCACGGGCGAAATCGTTCCGCACATCCCTTGGTTCCCGGATTCCTTGGGGCTGCTAAAATAGACGGAAAAATGGGTACCCTTCTTCTAACCTCTCTACAGGACCTAGTGAAAGGCCTAGGCGAGTTCACAACGAGTCCGAAAAGAAAAGCCACGCAGCTAGGACATGGACCTGCGAGGCGGTTTGCTTGGTTTTTGGCTTTCCCTTTTCGACGAACGATACGGTGGATGGTTGCGAAATCCAGGATGTCGCACCACCGTTCTTAGGTGGTGCGAAATGGATTTCGCGACCATCCAGAGTACCCCCCCTCCCCCCCAAAAGAAAGAGACCCTCAAGGACAAAGTGTCTACACACTGGGGCCCGGTTCCAAACCGAAACCGCGCCGTTTTGAGGCGAAGGGCAAGGCGCGGGTTTGGGGGGGGCGAAACGAGACAGACGGATCGCCTCGCCTTCTCGACTTTTTGGCTTGTTGGTTTTCCATCCAGCTTATTTAAATCTAGAGTAGGAGATATGGAATCTGGAGTTGTTAAATCTGTGGATTACAAGGGTGGATATGTTTTGAACTTGTCTGCAGTAGCTGAGGGTGTTATAGCCCTAAAGTGATGACTTGTTCCAGGGAGTCTAAGTCTGGCCCAGTTTGTTTATGTTTTCTTGTCGGGTTTCGAGCGGGTTACCGAGCGAAAGCCCATGAAGGTGCCTTACTTGTTATTGGTGTAGGAATTAGAGCAATTTTCAGGAGACCCCCCAATTGGTGATTCGGGTTGCTGGATGTGAACCCCTGGATCTTGTAGAGGTATGAGCAATGTTTTTTCGTTGTTTCCCCATTCACAGCACTCTACCAAGGTCCCAATGCTCTTCCTGGGGTCTCTGGCGGCAACTGGGTATTGTCTTCGGGGATTCTTGATGACTGGTAACTGTTGTACTATTCTTTGGTGCATTTTGCCAAGGGATGTTAGTACTTTAGCTTTTTGCCCACCAATGGGTTTTCCATTAAACCACTAAAAGGTTTAAACTTTTAGCAGGGGAGCAGAAAGCAACCGAGCATTGTCAAACAGCCCCTGTTGTGGAGTCATGTCACCTAAAGACAAATTGCCGAGCGACTTGCCGAGCCCAGGGGGGGGGGTTGTCCAAACACCAGGGATGGCGTTAGCAGGCAAAAGAACATCAACATACTGGGGATGGACCCAATCCTGCACCACTTTCAAGCCATGGGAAACTATGGTTCGTTGGTATTTACAGGGACATAATCATTCCAGGGCTTCTTTCCTGGTGCAGGATTTCGTCCATCCACAGTATCACCCATGGTGGTGGCATGTAAACCGCCATTCTATGCAGCAGGCTGGTTCGGTCATAGGATTTGAGGCGTGTCGTAAACTAGTACGAGGTTGGTTCCGAGCAGGACACGTCATGCTACAGGGGCATGGGTTGCGCGGAGGACACGTTCGAGGCCACGAGGTCGAGGCGCAGCAAAAGGAGGATGCGGAATATGATGATGCGCCTCATAATGTTAACCCCGGATCTAAGTAAAACCCCTAGTTGATTAATAGGGGGGTGTCCCCTTTTAGTCGGGATTCACTTTTGGAGGGAACACCCCCCTAATAATCGAACGGGTTTGTTAATCCTGGGTCAACATTAACTGACCCCTCGTTCCCGACACCCGAGAAGCTGGGCTTCTCTCAGCTCACGCTGACACTTTGCTAAAACCGGAATCCGCAAGGAAGCGCACAGCGTACACTTGAGAGGAGCATCGAGACCGTGACGTCTCACGTGACCGCCTGGGTTTACCTCCCGGGGCTCAGCCAGCATGCGCGGAGGACTGTTGATGGCCTTCCCTATGAACCCGCAACTTGCGCATGTGCGCATCCAGTGTATTTTCGGGGGGGGGGGGAGGGAGTTGAGGCTCCCTCAGCTGGGTCGCTCGATTGCCCCTTATTGGATGTTGTTGAAAACAATTACTCCAAAAGGCAACATCAAAGCCCGCTTGAGGGCATAGACTTCCATTCGGAATCGACATGAAAGGGCGAAACGGATGTGCCGAAACGGTCGGCTGTGAGGCTGTGAGTGTAAGAGGTGTCGGCGCATGTTTCGATTCCGAACCAAGGTTTGAAAGTCAGGCAACCCGTCGGTGCGTTGGACTGCTTCGGGGATTTGAAGCGTGATTCTTGCACAGTGCGCATGAGCTCACATGGGAAACCACTCCGGAACTCCAAGCCACCGGGCTCCAAACCACCTTCACCCTTTCAAAGAGTGTTTCGCAGGCAGGAGGCTGAGCTTGAGAACGCAATCCCAACAGACTCATAGGCCAACAAAAGGGTTTGTCTCCCCAGTCGTTCAGTGGCACGCTTTGTCCCTTGTTGTTTGGTGGGTTTCCCGCTTAAAATTGGTCTACCCCAAAAAAGGGCTCCCTTCTTCTACCATGGTCACTGTACAGCCAAGTCTCCAAAATAGGAGAACCCCTCAAAAAAACACAAAGCGCGGTTTCCCTGTTCAAGCTGGCTCAAGCAGATGGCAACATCCTTGTCTCAATTTTAGGATCCTCCAAATTTGCGGACACAAAGGGATTTTCAATGTGGTGTAATTCCCCGATATATGACGGTGTTCCTTTTGATTTTCCGGAGCTTGAAACCAATATATGTTTTAGTTTCCCCTTTTTTTAAGGAATCTATCACTACTGGAAACATGTTTATTTGTTCCATAGGGCTCCAGCAAATGGAAGAATTCAAGGGCGCCAAATGCGATCCAACAAGCAACAGGTACGTGAGGCCATGGCTGGGGATGCGGCCAAGCAGAAGCTTCGGCTACCACGCCAAACCAGCTTCGGAAAGAAACAGATTGCCAATAGAGTTGAATCAAACAAACGCTAAGCCAATAAACAGGGTACTAATAAACTTGAAATTTCAAACCACTAAATTGGGCACCGACTGCCAAAATACACACGGCCCATGCGATTTCAACGACGCCCTCGCTTCCTATTGTGGTGGAGCCGTCCGCTTGAGCCAGGCGCGGCGTGCAAAGCCAGCGGCAGTGTCTGCAATGAGCATGGAGGCGGCTCGGGCCAGAAGCCGAAGGTGTCCATTTTTTAAGCTTCCATGTGCCTGTGGGTCAAAACCGTTTTGCTCCCATTTTGGGGTAGGTGCTCAAAACCTTGTTTTTGTCGGGATTTTAGTGGGGATTGGGATGTTCACTGGGGGTACGGGATTTTGACCTATGGCCATGTTGGTTTGTTACAGGGAATCAACTATTGGACACCTTGTTTAAGCATTTATTGTCCTTAAATTCCTCCGCCCCGCAGTTCCCAAGATTCCCCCGCAAGACCAAGAGGCCAAGAGGGCACTGCATGTCAACATCACCTGCTAATTGCAAATAATTACGCCACTAGGTCCCCCAGTAGCACCCTTTTACCCTTTTTTGGGGGAGGGTCCCCCTACCAAAATAGACTAGGGCCTAGGCTAATTGTCACCTTTTGACCTTGTGATTTCCCTTTTTGATCTATTTTTAGTCAACACCCCAAAAGGTTGACCTTGAACCCTCCCAAGAACAAAGATGGACAGCTGCCCGGGAACCGGTCCCCTCAAAAGAACAATGGTGTTCCAGGAATTTTGGTGGTTTGATGTTTGTTTTTGGGAGGGTATGTCTGAGTCACTGGGCAAATGCGCCCGGCATCGCTTCCCTCGCCGATCCTCAGGGAAGGAGGGAATCACCTTATGAACCATCCCTGGTGTCCGTTAAGGGATCCCCAAAACCGGCTCATTCCCCCTGCCCCCAGTGGATTCCCTGACAACCAGCAGGTTCTCTGTGGAGTATATTTGTATTTCAGAGACCCTACTGTGGATGGACGAAAGCCTGCACCACCTACGAAACCCTGGAATTATGATTCCCCTAAAAATACCAACCAACAAGGGTAACCCAGACTGTGGATGGTCGCGAAATCCAAAAAAAATCACGGCCGTTCCGAAACCCTTGTTTGAGTATTCGATTCGACATTGATTTCGCAAGCATCCCACAGTATGGCCAAATGGCTGTGGGTCAAACAAAATTACCCCAAATGGGTTACCCTAATGGAGACATTTGCAAAAAAACCTGCGGTCCAAATTATGATGCTTTCTACCAACATGGCGCCTAATGGATCCAAAGACTAAAACCGCAGCCGTTTTCCGGACGCCTCGCCCTCTCGCCTCGCGGGAAACGCGAGGACTCCGGACGGCTTTGGGCGCCAGACTTAGACCGAGATTATCTTCAGGCGTCAGGCTATCCTTGGTGGTTTCTTTGGTGCATTTTGCCAAGGGATGTTAGGACTGAACAACTTTTTGCCAACGAAGGGATTTTCCGTATTAAACCACTAAAAGTTAAACTTCTAGCAGGGGAGCAGAAAGCAACCGAGGTTTGGATTTGGATTTCAGTTTGTTGGTTCTTGTACAGAGGGTAAATGGGGATTTCCCTCCTCCACCACCAAGCAACCGCTCCAAACGGAAATTGCTGGTGTAATTTTCCTGATTTTCCGTTTGGCGATTTTGGGAGGACATCATGCAAACAGTTCTATGGGGGTTTATGTCTACCAGTGTCTACCAAGCATTTCGGGCAAGCCAAGTCCTTTTTGATGCTTCAAGCCAGGGTTGTAGAGGTTCACTTCCCGCCTTTTCTGGGCATTTTTGTTTACCATTTGGGACGACCGTTATACGTGGTTTGGGGCCAATCCACACAGGAACGGAGAAAAAGAACGCTTGAGCCCCGCATCCAAAATATAGGTTTTCCATGCCAGGGTTGTCCATTTAAAACAATCCAAGGATATGAAGAGTGGAGAAAAGTCTATGTGTGTTTTGCCCCTTTCCGAAATACTCAAATAGCTTGCTGTGATCGTAACTTGGAATTACGACAGCTGTGAATGAGGAACTTTTTACTGGAGGCATGGGACCCCCTAAAATTCAGGTAACCCCTCTTGATGGCGGTTTGGATTGGTGGCTTGGGGATTTGAACCTCTTCTTCGGGAGCCAGCAGGGAGGCAGCCGGCACACCACCGAACCACCGATTCGGCATCAAATCACCCTTTTCGAGGCAAGCTGAAAAATGGGGGGGGGGGGCTTCCTTTTGGTCTCCCTTTAAACCGACCCCAAACAAAGGAGACCGCCAGAAAAAGATGCACGTGTAGTCCAATTTCATGAGTGTGTCATCCCTACCGTAGATGAGACACCGAAATTCGAGGGAAACTGAAAGGGTGGTGTCCCTCTTCACGGTGTGTCCGACTGTTTTCCTCACTTTGTGAGCTCCTGAACTACTGTTTGGGAAGACCATTTTAGTGGGAATAAAACGTCCAGATTCTTTTTCGCAAATCCACTCAGGCAGTGAGCCTATGGAGCTTATCTTAGAAATATATATTAAAAAAAAAAAAAAAAACCTCTCTGAACCCTGCCAGACAGAAACAGAAACACGAGGAAGCATAGGACCTGATGAGACATCTCTCTCAACCCTGCCAGAAGCAGAAGCGAGGAAGCATAGGATAAGCGAAAAATCGGCGAGGAAGCGGGTTTCCGTTCAGTTGACAACTTTTCGAGGTGCTCTGGTCCACTGGGCGCCTGGAGTCCTTCGATTTGCCCGGGGCCCCCGGAACGGACCCCAATGGCCCCGAGACTTGGTGCTTCAACCAGCGAGTCGTCGAGTAGGTTGTTAGTTGGTTTGAGTTGGTTGAGTTAAGTTAGTTTTTGAGTTGGTTGAGTTAATTGAGTTAATTGAGTTGGTTGAGTCTTTTTGTTTTTCTTTGGCTTTTAGTCGTTTGCGTTGGTCCAGTCGTTGGCGTTCCGAGTTTCACCAAAAGTATCGTCACTTTTCGCAGATCTGAGAAAATCCACGGTTTTACTCACCTGGGTACCCCACTTTTTGGGTTTGGTTGCGGAGACTCGCTCGTGGTTTCACCAAACAGCTCGCTCGTCTGGTCTCATTTCGGTTTTTTTTGGGCTCGGGCTCTTCGAAAGGGCACGAGATCATGTTCCTTGAACCCGTCCCTGAAAAAGCCCAAAGAAGGTGGATCCAGCAAGACACAGACCCAAATGGGAACCGGTGTTGTTTGTTGTGTAAGTCGACAAAAACAAAAGAACATACACCAGCCGTCGACCAGCCGTGTTTGTTTTGAGATGTCTCATTTTGGATTTTCTCATGTTGGTGTGTGCGTGTTTTTTTAACAGGCGAAGCGAGCAAGCAAGTGAGTGAGCGACATTCCAAAGAAGAGAACACCGGAGCCACCCAAATGGTGTTGCCAACAAGGCGAGCCTCTTGCTAAGGGGTGGAGCGCACCCGTATGAACCATGATTGAATGATTGAACCATTATCGGGAAAAGTGTCAGTCCCTTTTTGGACTCTTACGGCGCAGAATTAGAAGGGCAGGTCATTCCTGGGAAGATGAGCATGAAAACAAACCCATCTACCTAGATAGCCAAGTTGCTGTTTTGTTCAGTCACTGTTGCTGGTTCTTGGGATGGAAAAAAAGCGATCGCCACTGGCGATCCAGGTATGGTTTCAGGTCTTCCAAGAACTACCGACCAAAACAATCATGTATGCCCCACGTCTCCCCCCCCAGATGCCCCCCCCAAAGATATAAGGTGGCACCATAAAATGTTTATATATATAAGCCCTTCTTGAGCCCTTAATGGGTAAGGCGTGCATTTTCACCCAGGCCGCCGGGTCTTTCTTCTTTCCGGTTGCGTTCTGCCCTCCCAGTGGCCGACCGACCGAGGCTGGGAGGGCAGCTGCTGGGCTCCTGGAAGCCCCAGTGGCCGGCGCCGGGGGGCTCGGCGTCCGAAGGAAGTGCCGACGTTGGTCCGAAAAAAGAGAAATGCCCAGGTTTCCCCCAGCTGACCGTTTTGGGGTTTTGGGTTTTGGGTTTTGGGTGCCCAGGTTCCTGGACTCATAAAATTTTGTTGGTAGAAAAAACATGTTTAGTCTATGTGTCCGAATCCCCCAGCAATTGGTGCGATTTCTGACCATCTCCTTTTGTTTTGTTGGTTTTGGTGGAACCCCCTACTAAAATAGACGAAAAATAATCAAGTGGGTACCAACTTATTCTAACCTCTCTACTGGAGGAGCCAGAATGCGTTGGGTTCAGACCCCCACCCCAGAAGAAAAGGTTTTCCGTTTGGAGCAAAACTCTTTAACACCACCCCAAAAAGAGGAATGAGTTGCTCCCCCCCCCCAAAAGAAAAACAAAGAGGAAAGGAACAAAATTGTGCCTTGGGTCCCGAACAAAAGAACCGATGAGTTGGGTGGGTCCTTTCCCTCCCCCTTCCGAAAGAAGAACATGGTTTGGCCTTTGGTCCGAAGAAAGAGCGATGACTCGGGGGTGTCCATTCTATGTTATTTTTTGGTTGGACCCTTCATTGCTTTTGGTTCCCCTTGAAACCAACTCCGAAAAGCAGTTGGGTGTGTCCTTTTTTTAGCCCCCCTTCAAAACATGATTTCCTCCTGGTGTTACTTTAAAACCAGCCCCCCAAAAAAAAAGAAAGTGAATTAGCATGTCTTTCTTCAGCCACGCCCGCAAAAAACAGAGAAGAACTAAGCGCAGGTGGTATTTTCTGGGCCTGCGGCCTCTAGCCGGCTACGCCTCTTTGAAGTTATACCATGTCATGTCATGTTTTGTGCATGAGAAACGTAGCGTGTGCTATGATATGGCTGGTTAGGTTATGCATGTTGCCCACCTTAACCCCAGATAATGCCGGGGATGCCGGCTTTCTGGGCCCCAGCCGGGCCACAACCCAGAAGGCTGACATGGGGTCGCGCGCGCGCGCGCGCCAGAGGACCCAAAAAAAGCAGCCCAAAAAGAGCAGCCCGCAAGCCAGCCCGGAAACGCACATGCAACAAAACACCGTAAATAGCAGCGTTGTGTGGCGCGCGTGCGCCAGAAGGCCCGAAAACCAACGGGGAAAAAGCAAGGACCGCGCGGCACGCGAGCCAGGCACAGCAAAAGCAAAACGGACAGAACAACAGCGCAACCCTCAGCACAGCAGTTTTTGGCGGTATTTACAGCGTTTTGTAGAGCGAGGACCCAGCATC